AAAGGGTGGTTATGGATACATTTCTGGGAGAGTGGCAGGGGAATTATCAGACCACTACTTCTGAATCTGCTCAGGGTGAAGGGAGGCCAATATGTAGTCAGGAACAGGAGGTTTGGAATGAGAGAGGGAGATGACCAGAACACAGACTGAATGCCCAATGGCTCTGAGGGCCTCCAGAGGCTGGAGAGCAGGGCTCTGCAGCAACCCTGTTTGTGTCACTCAAGTTCCTGACAAGAGAAAAGGCTACATACTGCCTGATTGTGGAGATGTAGGGTGTTTTGGGGTTTTTTTTAGGATTTATTTTTATTTATACAAGAACTGGGGTACAGGCCAGAGGTGTGGGAGGGTGAGAGGATTCACCAGAGTCAGAGTGGGGAGAACAGGCAGATGGACCAAAAACACTGCTGAGGGGAGCAGCGGGCGAGACAGGAGAGGCCTGCCATGCCATTTGGGTATCTTCCTGGCTGGCCAGGAATTGAACTCGTGCTGCAGAGGCTGCGGACAGCTTCACAGTGCTGTGCTCAACCTTCTATGCCACCAGGGACACCCTAGGGCGGGGTTCTGATGGGTGGGTGTGATACTGAGTTAAAAGAAAAAGGGGCTAAGACCCCTAGCAAGAGTTTGACATGATGGAGCCCCAATTTAGGCTGAGTAGAAGGCCAGTAAAATGCTGTAATCTCAGGAAGGTCAAAGGCGAGATTTTCTTGAACCCAAACTCCAATCCTATTACCCTGCAAAAGCATGTCTGTCCTTTTAAAAATAACCCATTCTTTTCTTCACAGGCATCCAAATGTTGTAAAAGGCTGACTGTTCAGTCCCAGGTCTGAATTAGTCTCCTTCATCTCCTCTTTGGAAAGATGACTAATTACAGTCTCAGAGGTTCTAAACGCCTTAGTAAACCTTTGTCCCATAGCAAAATATCTTTTTTCAAGAGTCCTCAGGGAGACTTTGGTTAGCTAGCCTTTACCTGACTATGTAAGTCTTGTGCCTCAATTGGAGACTGTCTTGACAAATGTATTCCACACAAGCATCTTACCTTCTCTGAATCCAGAGAGAGGAAACAATGGGATGGAAAGTGTGATAAATTCATCCAACAGTTGAGGACTTACTACATGCTGGATGCTGGAAAGAGGAGATAAATGGGACACAGCCGTCTGGGGAGATGGCGATAAGTGACCAGCATATTCAGTGAAGAGAGGGGCATAGGGTCCCGATGGCTTCTCAATGTAGCCAGTGATGTGGGTTAGGTCTCACAGGTCAAATCAAAGACACATGCAGCAGAAAGTATCTATATGAGGACCAGGACACAGCCAGACCCTCAAGCCTGACTTTCATGCAGATGACAACTCTGACTACCCACCCAGTTCTCTAGCTCTGGTTTCACTGTTTCTGGAATCATTTTTTTAAAAGATTGATTTATTTATGCATTCAAGAACTGGGGTACAGACCAGAGACAGAGTGGGGAATAGAATAGGCAGACTGACTGAAATATACTGCTGAGGGGAGTAGGGGGCGAGACAGGTGAGGTCTGCTGCACCATGTGGGTTAGTTCCCTGGTCGGGGATTGAACTCATGCTGCAGAGGCTGCTTCATTGTGCTGACACTTAATCCCTTGTGCCACCAGGGAGGCTCCCCCCAAAATAAAAATTATTGCTAAAAAGGGACTATATTGTTTATCCCATTTTGCCCATTATATCAAAATGTAAATAATTTTTTTAAAGATTTATTTATTTATACAAGAACTGGAGTACAGGTCAGAGGTATGGGAGGGTGAGAGAATTCACCAGAGAGAGCAGGGAGCAGAACAGGCAGATGGACCGAAGACACTGCTGAGGGAAGCAGCAGGCGAGGCAGGAGAGGTCTGCCATGTCATGTAGGTTTCTCCCTGGCCGGCTGGGAATCGAACCAGCGCTGCAGAGGCTGCGGACAGCTTCACAGCCCAGCGCTCAACCCACTGTGACACCAGAGAGGCCAAAATGTGAGTAATTTTTTAAAATACAAAATGTGAACATGTTTTTCTTGAGTTAATAACTTCCTTCCCAGACAGTTATTAGGCAGTGGGCTAAAAAAATAAAACAGAAGAGGCATGTAGTCTGGTACAATGGCTGGCAGATAGAAAATACGGATCAGGTAAAGCAGATAAACAGGAAAAGGAAAAAAAGAAACTCCCTAAACATTGTTTCTTAATTAATTTATTTATTTTTAAGAGATTTATTTGTTTATTTATACAAGCACTAGGTACAGTCAGAAGCGCGGGAGGGTGAGAGAATTCAGCAGGGCCAGAGTGGGGAGCAGAACAGGCAGACTGACGAAGTACACTGCTGAGGGGAGCAGCGTGTGCGGCAGAAGAGGTCTGCACGCCATGTGGGACCCTCGCCGGTGGCTGGGGATCGAACCAGTGCTGCAGAGGCTGCAGACAGCTTCACAGCCCAGCGCTCAACTGCTGCGCCACCGGGGAGGCCCTGTTTCTTAATTTAAAATACTGGTGGAGGGGCCTCCCTGGTGGCACAAGGGGTGAAGACGCAACCTATGAAGCTATCTACATCCACTGCTGCACAAATTTGATCCCCGGCCAGGGAGCTACCCACATGGTGCACCAGATCTTTCCTGACTTCCCCATTGCTCCCCTCAGCAGTGTATTTCAGTCAGTCTGCCTGTTCTGCTCCCACTCTGTCTCTGGTGAATCCTTTCAACCCCCATACCTCTGACCTGTACCCCAGCTCTTGTATACATAAATAAATAAACCTTTAAAAAATAAATAAATAAAATAAAATACTGGTGGGTCTGCTGAACAGATTGCAGGTTTGTTTGTTGTTGTTTTTTTTGCATAAAATATCATTCATAATATGTTACAATTTCTATTTTTGTGATTTCAATACATGGTGAAAACCTACAGGCCCTGACAAAGTGATCTGTGTGCAGAACCCTAGATTTGTATGGTCTTTGCCCCAATCTAAAGTTGTCTCCTGCATACCTGATTTAATAGTTATGTTTTATTTGACTTTATTCAATTAGCTATATTAGACAGTTGTCCCTTTTTTGCTATTTCACTGGCTAACATTTAATTACAAAATCACAGTCACATGTATAGTATGAGGCAAATATAACTCACTGCATATTTAGTTTTTTCACATAACTTTTTATATGTAACATAGGTTTACAACACTGCATAATGCCGCAGACCAGCACAGCAGTGAACGATGAGGCCGTCTTGGGGTTGAGAGACTGCGCAGGGTGGTCAGGGATTCGGCGAAAGAAATGACAAACAGACACACTTCAAGAGAGAGTGTAAATCTGAGTGTAATTCTTTTTGAGTTTGTGACCAGTATATATATGTTTTCTAAAAGCATAGGAACAATGAATATCAACGAAATCAGCTTGCTCATGGGTTTAGCTTATCACTGACAGGGCAGTGATTTACATCTGGACCTAGCCTCATTCCTAAGTAGATAGACCATTAGTTTTGTTTTTAAACTATATAATCGCATTTTTTGTTTTACTAACTACTTTTTTACCTAAACTATATTTTAATTATTACAGGGTTTAGTAATGTTTCATTTGAGTCAGCCTTGTGTTAAGGATTTCATATGATTTTTTTAATTAACAACCAATGACCTTTATAGAAGAAAGAAGGAAGTTTAGAAAGACAATAAGGGAATAAAGTTTGTAGTTCTAGAAAGACGAGATAAGGTTTTTTGTAGTAGCATTCTTGTAGTGGTTCCTGGTGGTCGTTATCTTATGATAAGCATCTGTCTTATCTATGTCTTCAGGGAACTGTACTCCCCTGCACGCTGGTTCCTTGCCCAGCCGGACCTAGGGACCGTGGCGAAAGCCATTAGCCTTAAAGGTCACTGCAGGGGGAGGTGCAGCAGCATAAGTTTCAGGAGTAGTTTCACGTCTCCACACATATGTATTCACCATACCAGGCACATGACCAAAGGTCTACTTACCATCCATCAACCTACAGTTTTTCCATCAACCATCAACCTCCAGTTTTTCTGGACTCCCTTTACCTGTTCCTCCCACCCCCACTCCCTTACCCTTTGGTAATCACTATTCTCTTGTCAGAATCTAAGGGTTTGTTTTTATTTTGTTGGTTTGCTTTGTTTCTTAATACCTCCAGTTTTTCCATCATCCATCAACCTCCAGTTTTTCTGGACTCCCTTTACCTGTTCCTCCCACCCCCACTCCCTTACCCTTTGGTAATCACTATTCTCTTGTCAGAATCTAAGGGTTTGTTTTTATTTTGTTGGTTTGCTTTGTTTCTTAATATTTCCGATGAATAAAATCATATGATATTTTTGTTTCTCTGACATGTTTCACTTAGCATGATCCCCCAAGCTATACCCATGTTGTCATGAATGGCAGGATTTCACCCTTTTTTAAAAATAGCTGAATACTATTCTATTGTGCATATATACCACATCTTTGTTATCCAGTAATCCATCAAGGACACTTAGGTTGTTTCCATTTCTTGCCTATGGTGAACAGGCTGTGATGAACAAAGGGTAGCAGATACCTTTTCAAATTAATGTCTTCATAGCATAACTAACTCAATGCCATATCACTTGGTGGGACTAAGGACATGCAGGTACACTAGCCCCAGGTGGTCTGCGTGCTGTGGGCATAACCTAGTAGGTTTAGAAAAGGATGAAAAAGGACACAGAAAGTTCATGACAGGACCATCTAAGAGCATCTTACTATTTATAATATTATCAGAATCCATTTTAAAGCAGCACTTGGGTGTAATAAGAGACTGTGGGGTTTGGATTCAGGCAGATCTCCTGGTTCTACAGCATTGGGCAGATTTTGTGTGGACTTCTGGGTCAGTTTTCTGTTATAAAATAGGGGTGTATCATCTGTGTCTCAGAGCAGGTGTGTGAGTGAAATAGCCAAGTGTTGCCCATGGGAGGCAACCCAGCTTCTCCCACTACCTAGAACTAATTCTCATCAGCCACTTGAGAGCATTTTGTGCTTATCTCAGTTTCCTCTACTTTCAGAAGTCAGGTTTCTAGTCCTTCTGCCACCACTTCCAGTGCCAACCGTCAGCTGATGCTAGAAGGGAAGTCAGGACCCTACTTTTCCTCTCTGGACTCCAGCATCGACATGCTAAAGAGAAGAGCCCAGGAACTGATTGAAAACATCAACGAGAGCAGGCAGAAGGACCACGCACTCATGACCAACTTCAGGGACAGCCTTAAGATCAAGGTGACAGACTACCTGGACATAAACTTAGACAATGCAAAACTCATTGTTTGGGAGGTTCACTATGCCAGAGGTGAAAAGGAAGGGTGTTATGTTCTCTGTGTGGTGCATGAAATACCCACACTTCAGCCTCACCCTTACAATAATCCTGCAAAGAAGAGATGATTGGTTCTGTTTTATAGAAGGGCAAATTAATGTTTGCAAATAATTTGCCTGAGTGATAGCCAGGACAAGGAACCAAGGTCCTTCTGTACCTCAGTCCAGCCCTCTTATTCATGCAAGGGCTCATGGCTATGGGAGCAGGGTGTTGAGCATAACCTGCCTGCCTTATTATACACAGATGTCCTCCAGAAGTTGGATGGTTTGTAACGGGAGAGTAGACATCTCGACATGGTTGGATTTACATCTAACTACCTGATGCTATTGGTTGTTCTTGATGCACAGTGGGTCCTGTGAGTTGGAGTCCACAGGTCATCTCTATCACATTGACTTCTCTCCCCGGCCCCCCTCCCTCCATCCCTACTAGTGAACACCCTGATTGATGCATCACAGAAAATTTAGAAAGTAGGGGTGCAAGGGGGTTAAGACACAACCTATGAAGCTATCCACATCCACTGCAGCACAAGTTCAATCCCCGGCCAGCCAGGGAGAAACCAACATGGTGCAGCAGACCTCTCCTAACTTGACTGCTACTCCTCTCAGCAGTGTCCTTCAGTCTGTCTGTTCTGTGACCCCCTCTGTCTCTGGTGAATCCTCTCACCCCCCCACACACCTCTGGCCTGTACCCCAGTTCTTATATGCATAAATAAATAAATCTTAAAAAAAGAAAAAGAAAATTTAGAAAGTAGGGCCTCCCTGGTAGCACAAGGGGTTAAGACACAACCTATGAAGCTATTCGCAGCCACTGCAGCATGAGTTCGATCCCCGGCCAGGGAGCTACCCACATGATGCGGCAGACCTCTCTTGACTCACCTGCTGCTCCCCTCAGCAGTGTGTTTCAGTCAGTCTGCCTGTTCTCTTCCCCACTCTGTCTCTGGTGAATCCTCTCTCCCCCCACACCTCTGGCCATACCCCAGTTCTTGTATACATTAAAAAAAAAAATCTTTTTTTTTTTAAAAGAAAATTTAGAGAGTATAGTATAGCATAGCAGGAAAAAAAAAAAATCCCTGATACCACCACCCAGAGAGCAGTTTGTTGCATGGTTTCTTACAGTCCATTCTTCCCAACCTGATTGAGCTTATAATATATATGTAATTTTGCACCATTTTTTTTTAGATTTTTTTTTATTCATGTAACATTGCATTATAATATAAATTTCAGGTATGCATCATTACAAATCAGTGTCTGTATATTGTTTACTAATAAGAGTCTAATTCTCATAATTTTGCATCTTGCTTTTAAAAAATAACTTGACATATAGGCTATTTTAGCCTCAGTAACTAGAGTTGCTTTTACCATTTTTATAAAATACATTGCAGAAATAGAAGAGATCCATTTGATCCAAATGACTTGTTATGCATCTTGTTTGATTTTCCAAGAACACATCTTATTCTTTCAAAGGTTTCTGACCTGACAGAGAAGCTAGAGGAGAGGATGTACCAGATTTATAATCACCACAACAAGATCATTCAGGAGAAACTCCAAGAATTCACCCAGAAAATGGCAAAGATCAGCAACCTGGAAACAGAGCTCAAACAAGCGTGTCACACAGTGGAGACTGTGTACAAAGACCTGTGTCTCCAGCCTGAGGTACAAGCAAACTCATACAGGGTGGGGATGGGGGTAGAGGCACAGCAGGGAAGGAGAATTTAATGGGCTAAGCTGAAAGTACATGTCATCAGAAAACAAGGATGCCAGTGCCTAGCCCTCAACCCCACAGGGGCCACTGGCAAAGTCGTGCCTTTGCTATCTTGGTTGTAGCCCATATTCTCTCTTCTTCCTCTCCATCCTGCCACCCACCTCCCACCCCGACATGGTGTGTCCAAGAAGAGAAGCCAACTTGTTATTCTCACCACTATGTATTCGTCTCTGGTGACAAAAAGCAAAATCTCCTGTGGGCAGGAGGGGTCTGCCCATACCCCTAAGCCCTCAGCAATGCCTAATTTAGTTTATTTATCCTAGCGGAGACCAAGGCTCAGACACAGTCCAGTTCCCTTGGGCCGTGGGAAAATCCTTCCCTGTCCCAGCACCTTCCAGGTGGTTACAAGTAAATGTGGTCCAAACTGTGGTCAAGAGTGCAGATTCTTTATTATTCTCTCTCTCACCCTTTTTTTGCTCCAATATCTAGCCTAAGGCATGGCTCCCTAAATGGAAGGGTCAAGGGCACACAGGGAACTCTTGTGCAGGGGAAGGAGGTGTGGGTCTCTCAGATGCCAGGTGGGTCTCTCAGAGGTTGCTTCTATGTCTCCTAGTCTCTCCTTGCACCCTGTCAAGAGGAGTTTCTGTTCTAAGATAATCGGAATCCTTTCCTACCCACCATTAAAAGTGGGTTGAGAAGCTCTGTATAGTCCCATCTTTTTAGGGAGCACATTTGAATGACTTCAAAAGGAAAATTTTGATATTTAAAAATGAGTTTCTCACTTCCCACCATAAAAACTGCCACCTCCCTAAGCGCAGGTCCCAGGTCTTAGACCATCCAGTCTCCTGGGTAACGGGTGCTCACTTGCCGACTACGAATGCCTGGATCCCAGTGATCGCCCTTCCGAGAATCAGCGCATGAATGTCATGAGTGCCTGGATAAGACAAATGCAGAGGTGGTTTGAGTCTTAAGAGCTTACAACTTCCCTTTAACATCATTCCTCAGAATAAGCTGAAGGCAAAGGAATGGTTGTTAGCTATCTAAACATTCAAAATGTCAATGTTTTAGTTATTCTGATTTTTAAGTGGTAAGAAATGTAATGGTCTGTAATGGATTATAGTGTTTTCATTTATAGTGTAATGAAATGTTTACCGAAAGATAACTTTTTCATTATTAAAGTATTTTCAGAAAAAAATTTTAAAATCAATCTTTATATTCCTCCCCAGGCTACTACTCTGGAAGACCAGACCCACAAAGGTGGCAACTCCTGATAACTACCGAGATCATCCCTTCTTAGTGACCACTGCCAAGAGAAGACTCAGAGGCCACAGTTCCTGCTATAGTGAGAAAATTTGTTTTCAGAGTTCTGCAATACATTTTGGTGGGGGAAAAAAAACAACCCAAAGTTTTATACCACCCCAAAATACTGTGAATCTAGTCCCTACTATAGGCCCAGCTTTGGTGCTCCCCATACTTGGCCAACTTACTTTCCCTACCCCCATCCCTGCATAGTTGATTAAACATTTTGATTTTCAACCCTACCAAGTTTCATTCCCATAAAGGCAGAGATCTGGTGAGCTCTAGAAAGGAGTCAGATCCTTTCTTATCCACAGGGGAGACAGGAAAGCAAATATCAGACAATGCCTCAACCAGCCTATCTCCCAATACCTCATATCCACTTCCCACGCCCTCTTGTCTGGGTTATACTTTATAGCCCTCAGCACAGTTTGCTTTTCCTCAGCTTCCAGAAGTCAAGGAAAGATCACTGCCTCCCTTTCATAGAGTAAAAAAATTCTATTTTCTTCTTAAAGTGCAGCTCTAATCTAATCCATCTTCTTCACAAAACCACCTGAAAACCCCTGTGCTTGACCTTGAGGTTTTTCTGGAATGTCCCATTCTAAATAGTACACAGAGCTTCTCCGTCTCCCTCAGGGCCTAATGTGGTCCCACTTTCTTCCTAAGAGACAAGTACCTGCCTCCTCCCTGTATTTCTGTGTGGCTCACACTGGATTGTACACCTTTTTTTTTCTTTTTCATTATCTTTGTCCATGTCTGTCTTCCTTTGAGGCCAGGTGTTCTGGGCCCCCTGCAAGTCTCAAAGAGCTGCCAGGGACAAACACCACAACCTATAAATAGTTGACCTTTTTTCTTAACTTAAATAGGAGTGATGATTCCTGTAGGCACTTTGTCTCCCTGGCATCCACCAGCTCACTGGGCACTATGCCCCATTCAGGCTATTCAAGAAACCTTACTACAGTCTTTGAACATACACTTCCCAAGCATAATAGGAGAGGGGCTAAGAGTACTTCACTTTCCCTGCTCTGATGGGAGTCATACCAGATGAAGGGTATGGAGGGCACTTGACACAGGTCACACTGCCAGTGGGGTTAGCTGAAGTAGGACTGGGTCCTATTGTCCCCACCCCCTTCCTCACAGTCAGGCCACTGTGATACATCCTGCAGGGACCCTATTCCCACCTTCATAGGTATTCACAGCCTCTAGGTTCATGGCGTGGCGGATCACATGATACTCGTCAGAAATTCCATTTCCCCCCAGCATGTCTCGGGCCTGGCGGGCAATGTCCAGGGCCTTCCCACAGTTATTCCTCTTCAGCAAGGAGACCATTTCTGGGGTGGCCCTGGGAGTGGCACAGACATGTAATAGCATTAGATTATGAAGAAATGAACCTGCTCTAGGCTACAGGCTCCCTATACCCTGGGCAAACCCAGCCAAAAAGGGGGTTCCCTGTAGTACTGTCACATAGCAGACAGAGTTCCCAAAGAGGGACAAGGGGCACAGCCCTGGACCCTTAAGGTCAAGAGGGTGAGAAAGGACAGGTCCCCAGATGCCTCAAGTCAGAACACCCTCTCCCCAGGGCCCACTACCACTATGTGCAGAAGGGGCATGAGGTACCTCCCCTTCTTCCCAAAGCCCCTACTTGTCTTGATCCTTCAGGCGGCCAAGCTGTAGGCAGGCATGAAGGCCCAATGTGATCTCAGTGAGCATGTCCGCCAACTTCTTTTGAATCAGCTGGTTCCTAGCCAATGGGACGCCAAACTGGATCCTAGGTGGGCAAGGTCAGGGGTAAGTAAGTATAGGAGGGGAGCCCCTCCCCAGTCCTGTTCCAGGGCCCCACAGCTCTAGGAAGCCTTCCCAGACTGTCTCAGCTCCTATTGAGCTCACATTGTCCCTGTCTGGCCCCTCCCAGCTCAGAAGGACTCCTCTGCCATTTCACAGAGAGTGCTTAGGCAGGGTGGTGGGTAGGGGCTCACCAGTGGGGTAAAGGATGGAACCCAAGCCTCCCATATCCCTAGGAGATCTCACTGTAGCCCTCACACACCTGTCCAGGGTGTACTGCCGGGCGGTGTGCAAACAGAACTCGGCAGCTCCAAGAGCACCCCAGGAAATGCCATACCGGGCGTTGTTTAGGCAGCCAAAGGGACCCTGTAGGGTTCAGAGGGAGCCTCAGGCTCATCCAGGAGGTGCTGAAAGGACCTATGTATAACCAACTATGGAGTAAGGAGGATTCCCCTCCCCGGACACACAGTATAATAAGAGGGACATGAGGCAGCCATTTAAATCACGTGTATGGCAGGCTTGCTCAGTGCCTGCTCACTCTTGGTTGGAACACAATTCTACCTAGCCTGAGATCTAGGTTGGAGTCTCAGATCTAGGGTTCAGTGCAAGGAGACAAGAAGATGTACACATACCAAAGGATAAAGCTGGTTCATGGGCAGAGCTGTATGAGCCAGATAGCCACCCATAAGGGGCAGTTTCTGCATATCAGTGAGTCAGGCAGACTCCTTGAATCACAACAGTCATGTAATGCAATATGACAGCATTCAAGTCAAGGATAGACCATACATAAGATGGTGGTCTCTGTATAAAGCCTACATGTGTAGTAGGCTATCTTTGTGTAATTAAACTCTATGACAATGACACAATGATAAAATTGCCTAACAGTGCATTTCTCATGCACTGGGGACATGTTGTGTCCCCAACATTAAGTGACTCATGACTGTATTATGTGGACTCCATTAGCACAAGAACCATATTTGTCTATTCACCAGCTGGTGACCAGTTCCCAAGGTGTTCACTGCTTACCGCCAGGCCAGATGCATTGGGTAGCACATTCTCCTCTGGAACCTCTACACCGTCCATGACAATCATGCCTGTGGCTGAGGCCCTCAGGGAGAACTTGCCCTCAATTTTGGGGGATGAAAGGCCTCGCATCCCCCTCTCCAACAGGAAGCCCCGAATGCAATTATCTTCACACCGAGCCCATACTACAAATAGGTCTGCCACAGGCGAGTTGGTGATCCTGGAGGCAGGGCAGACAGTGAGGCATGTGGCCACCACCCTCCTGCCCCTGCCCACCCACCTGAGCAACCCAAGTCTCTCACCAGGTCTTGGCCCCATTTAGGGTGTAGCTCTTGCTGGAGGGGTTGTGGTGGGCTCTGGTCTCCATGCTGCCAGGGTCACTCCCATGGTTGGGCTCTGTCAGCCCAAAGCAGCCCAGGAGCTCCCCAGTGGCTGCAGGCATGAGGTTAAGTCACAAGGCTGCCTGTCTCCCATTCATCCCCTCATGAAAATTGTCAGCCTTTCTACCAAATCAGGTTCTGGCAGACCTGGTCCTGCCTTCATGGCATTCCCCAGGTGGTAGGGAGACACGTTGGGGATGGACCCCCACAGGAGTCAGGAAGGAGTTGGCTACACTGTCTTGAAGAGTAGTAAAAGGGGAGGGGGGCAGGAAAAGGTGTGGGGAAGAGTTGTTCTGGTAGAGGCAACAGGATGTGCAAAGGCCAGTTGTACATTGCAGAATTTCAAGTAGCTGAGTCTGATTGAAGAAAGGCAAACAAAAGAGTGACCAGCAATGAGATGGAAAGGTCAGTGAGGCCTTGTGGACCCAGTCCAGAAGTTAAGACTTTAAACTTTGGGCTGGGATAGGGAGAGCAGAGAAAGCCAATCAGGAAGGAGAAAGAAAGGAGCAAAATCAAGACAAACGTAGGAGGGGGAGTGAAGATCACATGTGAGGTGTGGTCTATGATGTAGCTGGAGATCTAGGTGGCCACTGGTGCTATCCATTAGGTGGGGAGAGAAGGCAGGCTGGGGGACAGCCCCACCCAAGTTCCAGACCATTAGGACTATGTTCCATGAGGGTCCCTGGCAGCTACTCACCCAGCCGGGGCAGGTACTTCTGCCGCTGTTCCTCGCTGCCATATGCGTAGATAGGGTGCATGACGAGGGAGGACTGGACACTCATTGCTGACCTGTAGCCACTATCTACCCTCTCCAACTCTCGGGCCAGGAGCCCATAGGCCACAGATGAGACTCCAGCACAGCCATATCCTGGTGGGGAAAGGGAATATAGAGGGGACAAAACCCTGCCCAGCTAAGACCAGTGATTTCTAGGGCCCAAGATGGAGGCTGAGGGTTGAGTTCATTTCATGACCATAGGATGGAGGGATGGTTAGCAGCTTTGATTTACAGACTGGGAAGCCTGGGTTTAGGGAGCTACAAGTGTGGAGAGAAATGTGTCCCTACCTTTAATGGTCGGACCCAGAACTCCGAGTTCCCCCATCTCTGAAATGATCTCCCGATGAAAAACTGCAAAGACAGATACCCAAGTTCAAATCTAACTTTAGGCCACTGTAGCCCCCATCCCAGGGACAGAGGGACCTAGAAGCCCAGATATCAATAGCACTGCAGGGCTGGAGTGGCTGGTGGAGGCCTTGGTCACCTTCATTGCGATTGGCCAGCAGGATGCGGGGCATGAGACGCTCCTGGCAGTAGGTTCGGAAGGTGTCCCTGATAAGGATCTCATCCGCCGTCAACTGCTGCTCCAGCACCAGCGGGTCCCTCCAGTCAAACTCCGGACGCAAGGCTGGGGCGGGAAATGGGACGCGACTCAGCCCAGCTCACAGGCCCCAGCGCCCTCCTCTCCGCAATCACCAGCCCCACTCCTCCACCCCCATCTGGCTCCCGGTGGATGTGGGCTGCAAGCAGGCCTCTGTTCCCCTAGCCCTAGTCACGGCCCTGCCTCCCCACCCAGGCAGCTTCGTATTCTGGGACAGGGCCGACATGGGGCAGACAAACAGTGAACAGCTGGATAAGGCAGCAGACGCAAGGTGCGACGAAGGGTCCTTACACTTGGTCGCTTTGCTCTGTGTCTTTCCGCTCTTTTCTGCAAAACAGAACGGGAAAGTCGACCAGGGAACGTCTCCAGTTCCTCCCTTCCCATCCTAGGCTGGTCAGGTACTGACCAGTCTGTGCCGCCGCCGAACCCCAGGCTTGCAGGATGCGCAGGCCAGATCGGCAGCTCAGCAGCCGCGCGGAGATCCCTCTGAGGGCCATGTGGGCAGCAGGCCGGCAAACGAAGCTCTGAAGACACCCCGATCTGGAGCAGCGGGGCGTCAGAGAGGGTCAGCTCCCCGTCGCAAGCCTCGCGCCAATCCTTACCTGCACCGCTCACCGCACAGACTACGGCGCAACTGACACTGGCATTTGACCTCAGAAGGGGGAGGGAGGGGTGGAGGCCATACGGAGCCTCTCATTGCTTGGTCCTAGAACCCAGAATCTTCTTGGCTCTGCCTTTTAAAAAGGCCCCGGCAGTTTTCCCCCCTCCGAGGTCGATGCTCCCCAGGCGGAGGCCAATTTAGCCCCTTTAAGGGGCAGAACCGCGAAGGGGCGGAAAGCAACTGTGCCAACACTATTGGTCCGCTGTATCCCTTCTATGATTGGTCCTAAGCAGGGGCTCGGTCCACTCTTGATTGGTCAGTTGCAGGGGGCGTTGCGGAAGGATTCTAGAGTTAAAGAAATTGCGGCTGGAGGAAAATGAATCCAGGAAACCAGGCCAGACCGCGAGGTTTCCTCTAATAGGGAGCTGTGTGTGTGTGAAGGTAGGCTCCGGTAGGCGACCTCAGCCCAACCTGCCTGCCAGGCTGTTTCAGAACGCACACCTAGTCGCCTGTGTATGATTAGTGTAATTCGTGTGCTATAGGATTCTGTTTATCTATGTGCGTGATTGTGTTTGTGTATCTGGTATGTAAGTGGAATTGACTGTGACTGTGACTGTGACTGGGGTTCTTGACTGTGCCTGTGTAACTATCTGTGACTTCCTGTGCCTGAATGTCTTTGTGGTTTCTTGTCTGTGTAATTACAAGCTTGTCTAATGGCATTCTGTGAGATGGTGTGTCTGAGCGGTACTCTGTATGATTGTGTTTTGATGATTTCTTTCTGTGTGTGACTGTTCTCGTTGTGATAATATGAATATTTGCATGCATGTCTGTGTGATTGTGTGTATCTCTATGTCAGTGTGATTTGGTCTCAGTGTGTGATTGTGTGACTCAATGTGACATGAGCATATGTCTGAATGAGTGGCTGTGTTCATCTAAATCACTTTTCTGAGCTTTTGTGTGTTGTGCATTTGAGATAAGTCCATCAAACTTCACCATCTCTAGCTGAAAGTCACATATTACCATGACCTGACCATTTCCCAGATGGGGAAAGTAGTCCCAGAAAGCAGAATCTTACTGCACAAGGACACAATGGGCCAGGTGCAGAGCATGGAGAGAGATCCTCACCTCCTGATTCCCAGAACAGGCCCCTCCCTAACCAGGGGCTTGTCTTCCCACCTGAGAGGTGGGAGTAGCTGTGAGGTGATGTATGAATGTGATCACTGGCCTACCATGTTTCCCCATACCTAGGACCTGGGTTTCCCTGGGCCCTCCCACATCTGGGGCCTTCTGGGCCCTAATATCCAAATGAAATGATTTGAACCCTCTTCATCAAACAGGTGTGAGTCCATCACTTCCATTGAAATGTCTGAAATTCTTCATAAATCTCTCCTTTTGGTCACCTTCCTCCTAATAGCAGTGGCCTCTCTTCTTCCATCCCTACCGAACCCCAAAGCTGCTCTGACCATGGGTGTCAGAGGAGGATAACAGCAGGAGGATAACACTTGGAAACTCAGGTGGAGGTTCAGGTTTTGCCACCCTGGAAGTTCCATCATCCTTCTTGGCCACATGCTCTCAGGGCCTGGCCTTTCAGCCAAATGCCCCTTCTCTCTGGACTTTTAAGCCTTTGCCTCATCTTTCTTTTCTTTTTTTTTTTTTAAAGATTTACAAGAACTGGAGTGTAGGCCAGAGGTATGGGAGTGAGAGGCTTCACCAGAGACAGAGTGGGGAGCAGAACAGGCAGACTGACTGAAACACACTGCTGAGGGAAGCAGCGGGTGAGGCAGGAGAGGTCTGCTGCGCCATGTGGGTTGCTCGAACTCAGCTGCAGTGGCTGGAGATAGCTTGATAGCACTGTCTTTAACCCCTGCGCCACCAAGGAGGCCCTTTGTCTCATCTTTCAGAGTCAAAAATACCTGTTTAGTGCCTCTTCCTAAACCAAACAGATGTCTCTTCCAGAGAGACCACTTTCCTCTCCAGGAAGCCACTCAAATTCCAACCACATCATTTTATTCACATAGCATATTTCATTCATATAACATAAAATGAGCCGTTTAAAGTGTATAATTCATGGGTCTCCCTGGTGGCACAGGGATTAAAGTCTCAGCGTTATGAAGCTATCACCAGCCTCTGCAGCCTGAGTTCAATCCCCAGACAAGAAGCTACCCACACAGCACAGCAGACCTCTCCTGTCTCTCCTGCTGCTCCCCTCAGCAGTGTATTTCAGTCAGTCTGCCTGTTTTGCTCCCCACTCTGTCTCTTGTGAATCCTCTCACCCCCTGCATCTCTGGCCTAAACCCCAGTTCTTGTATGCATAAATAAAATAAAAATAAATCTTTTTTTTAAGTTTATAATTTAGAAAAGAGATATTTGTACATCACAGTTCTGACAAAGGGTCAGTTTCTGAAACATAATTTATACAATTCAACAATAGCAACAACAAAAACCAAAACCACCCAATCAAATCCAGTAAAAAAATGGACCTACATAGATACTTCTCCAAAGAAAATATAGAGATGGTCCACACGCACATGAAAAAATGCTCAGCATTACTTATTATAAGAGAAATGCAGGGCCTCCCCGGTGGCGCAGCGATTGAGCGCTGAGTTGCGAAGCTGCCCACGGCCTCTGCAGCACCGGTTCGATCCCCGGCTGCTCCCCGGCCACCAGAGGAGGGTCCCACATGGCGCGCAGACCTCTCCTGCCGCCCGCTGCTCCCCTCAGCAGTGTACTTCGGTCCTTCTGCCTGCTCTGCGCCCCGCTCTGGCTCTGGTGAATTCTCTCACCCTCCGGAGCTTCTGACTGTACCCAGTGCATGTGTAAACAAAAAACAAAAAACAAACAAACAAATAAATAAAACATGCCTCTATTAAAAAAAAAGAGAGAGAGAAATGCAAACCAAAACCACAGTGAGCACAGTGAGATAACCACTTCATGCCTGCGTAAACAAGTGTAGGTGAAGATGTGGAGGAAAAGGAATAGTCACTGACATTGGTGGGAATATAAACTGGTCCAACACTCTGGAAATGGGTATGGAAATTCCTCAGAAATTAAAAATGGAAATCCCATATGATCCAGCAATAGCGCTACTAAGTATTTATTCTGAGAATTTGAAAACACTAACACTGAAATCTTTATATACTTCTATGTTCACAGTAGCATTATTCACAACAGTCAAGTTATGGAGTCAACTCAAAAGGTCACTGAGCAGGGACCTCCCTGGTGGCCTAGGCATTAAATCTCAGCATTATCACTGCTACTGCCTGAGTTTGGTCCTGGACAGGGAGCTTACCCATATATGGTGCAGCAGACCTCTCCTGTCTTGACTGCTGCTCCCCTCAGTAGTGTATTTCAGTAAATATCCCCATACCTCTGGCTTACACCCCAATTATTCTATGCAAAAAAAGAAAAAGTTGGGGTCTCCCCGGTGGTGCAGCGGTTGAACGCTGGGTTGCGAAGCTGCCCGCAGCCTCTGCAGCGCCGGTTCGATCCCCGGCTGCTCCCCGGCCACCGGAGGAGGGTCCCACATGGCGCGCAGACCTCTCCTGCCGCCCGCTGCTCCCCTCAGCAGTGTACTTTGTCACTCTGCCTGTTTTGCTCTCCGCTCTGGCTCTGGTGAATTCTCTCACCCTCCCGCGCTTCTGACTGTACCCAGTGCTTGTATAAATAAAAATAAATCTTAAAAAAAAAAAAGAAAAAAAAAAGGAAAAGTTCACTGTCAGATAACTGGATAAAGCAATGGGTGGGTACATACTCAATGGAATACTACCCAGTTACTAAAAATGATGAAATAATGCCTTTGGGACAAATCAGATAGATCTTGATGTAATAATGCTAAATTAAATAAGTCAGAAAAACAGATTACTTCATGCATATGTGGGATATAAATAACCACAGCAGACAAACCGATAAAACAAACCAAGAAATAATTTAGATTCTGAAAAATGTAACAGTTATTTAAGGAGTTCAGGGGGAGGGAAGAAAAAATAGAGGAGGGAAGTTGGTTTGGTATTGGGCACTAGGGCTTTGGTGGAGGTCCCTGAGAGTGGTAAATTATGTACATACTTCATAGTTATTATAGGCATTCTGGTGGATATGTCAACTGGCTATTCTATTACTTTTTGTCTCTGCTCCCCACCCCCATCCCCAATGGCACATACTTTTTTTTTTAAGATTTATTTATGCATACAAGAACTGGGGTACGGCCAGAGGTGTGGGGGAGAGAGGATTCACAAGGCAGAGTGGGGAACAGAACAGGCAGACTGACTGAAGTACACTGCTGAGGGGAGCAGTGGACGAGACATGAGAGGTCTGCTGTGCTGTGTGTGTAGCTTCCTGGCCGGGGATCGAACTCGTGCTTCATTGGCTGCAGATAGGTTCATAGGTTGTGTCAACACTGTGAGCCACCAAGGAGGCCCTAGCACAAACTTTTTTCTCTCTTTGTGTGAAGGCTTTGTGTGACACCAATTGTGTGTGATGGGTCTATGTCTGGACAAAACTGTCTCTCATTATCAGGGTACTGATTCATGTTAGTATGATTGTCTGTGTTTGCCTGGATAGCCCCTGTGGCAGGGTAGTGGTAGCTGTGCAATTGTGTGACTAAACAATCACATACGTGGCAGAGCTATGCACAGTTATCTCTGTCTCATGAATAGCTGCTTTCGTGGCTGTAGCATTCTGTTTGTGTTGGTCGTGTGCAGCATATAGTAGGCTTTTGTGTCTGAGACTATAGCTCTGTGACAATATATCCAGGAATTCCCATGCAATATGGTTGTGTGTGATTGTGTTAGCACCTGTCTGTGATGATGAATTCTATGTCTGAGGGATTGTGTGGCCAGAGCATTGTGTAACCAGTATAGCATATGATTGTATTTTGGTGCCTGGGAATTGTGTGTGTGCATGATCTATATGACACACAGTTATATGGACAGGTACTGTATGGTGCGTGTCACTGTGTAATTACATATTTCAGGTGTGAGTGACTACGAGCTGTGTCTGTGATGTGCGTCTTGTTGCCCACATGGGGCTTCCCAGGCCACCACATGCAGGTCCCTGGTGTAGAATCTTGGTTCCCTCCCCCATGAGTCAGAAACCCAGCAGCACCTGGTCAAAAGCAGGGTGGTACATGTCTTATGTGGGTCAGGTACGTCCTGTGGCCCTATCCAACAGTTTCATCTCATACAGAATGGGGGTCACATCCCCTTCCTAGCACCCACTACACTGGAACAGTGTAGTTCCACCGGCCTCAGCTTCCACACTTCCCCGTGCCCTGCAGCACAGCCTGGGGCTCCCTGGTAGATTCAGCTGATGGCAAAGTCCCCTCATGCCACTAGGTGCAGACCTTAGGAGCTCACAATCTAGAAAAATTAAAGTCAGCCTAACATGAAGCCCCAGCCACTAGTCTTCCCACTCACCAGGGACAGAACTTTGGCTGTTTTGGGCTCCTACCTGATAGCAGCCACCAACATCTGGGGTGTCTGATAATTCTTGGCTTGGCAGGCAGTTTGTGCCAAGTCCCACCATCAGCACGGTTGCGGCTCTTTATTGGGGAGGGGAGAGCTAAAGTTCCCCAGGTTGGAAAGAGAGGGTCTTCAAGCCCCTTCCCAGCATACATGTTTTGCTTGTCATGTCTTCTCCAAGAAGTTAACTGAAATCAGGTCCTCAAATCTCTCCTTGGCAAACCCAGTAACTCATTTACCCAACTCTTGAACCCCCAGCCCCTGATCCCCTTATCCCTGAGCCCCCAGCCCCTGACATTAGACTTGGCTTTAGACACACAGTCTCTTTTAGTCCCAAACTGTCAGAAGAGAGGTCTAGTCCCCAGAAACAGTGACCCCCGCCTTGCTTACCCCTTATCAGGGCCTGCAGCCAATCAGCTAAAGTCAGAGAGGAGCCTTCCAAGGGGCCATTAGAGCTTCAGAGTCCACGAGGCTGCTGAGGGAGAGGAGGCCTGAGGCCCAGGGTGGGCACCAGCCATGGGTGCCGCTGAGACTGCCTTGCCCTCTATCAGCACACTGACCACCCTGGGCCCTTTCCCAGACACGCAGGAAGACTTCCTCAAGGTGGGGCCAAACGGGGTCAGGGTGGGCTGCTGGGGTCCTGGGCTGGGGTCACAGCTTGGGGGTCAGGTCTGCATTCTTGCCCTGAGATGTGGTCAGATCTTGTCCAGAGACCTGGCCAGGAATCAGGGGTCCTCAGCTGAGGTCAGGGGTCTGGACTTGGTCTGAGGTAGGGGGGTATTTCTGTCATAGAAAATGAGACTAGGAGCTGAACCCCTTGTGGATCTTGGCTCAGTGAGACAAACCTAGATTAAGGGGAGTACAGCAAATGTGCCTAGGGGACATCTGGGAATTAATCTTGGGGCTCAATCTTTTGAGGGGATGGGGAAGGAGATTCTGGGGGAAACTGAGGCAAAGTTGGCCCCTCCACGAGTCTTCCATTCTTGACTCTGCCATCCCTTCCCCCATGCTTGAATGTGGCTGCAGATAATAGAAGCCTTATCTCTTGTCTCCAGCCAGACCCACTAGACCTCTATCCCAGGAGCTGAGGGGTGGGGGTGGAGGCACTGTTCAGGGAGAGCGACCTACTGACATGAGACACAAGCAAACAAGACCCCTTTCCAGAACCTCTGGCTAACCTGTGCCCATTAGGGCATCTGGTACCCTCCATCTCTGGGCTGGGAACTCTGGGTACCCTGAAATCTCTCTCTACTGGCTCCCTCCTGCAGTGGTGGCGCTCTGAGGAGGCACAGGACTTGGGTCCTGGCCCCCCCGACCCCACCGGGCTGCCCCTCCACGTGAAGCTGGAGTCAGAGGATGCACCTGTGGAGGACCAGGACGAAGTTGAGAGGGAAGAGGCCACCGCCTGGGACCTGGATCTCTTCCTCACCAACTTCCCCTACCCAGAGAGGGTTGGTGCGTCCCAGACCCCGGGAGAAGGCTCGGGGCCACAATTCCCGCAGCAGCCCGAGACTCTGGGTGCCTATGCTGGTGGCCTGGGGCTAGTGGCTGGGCTCTTGGGTCCCCAGGGACACCCAGGCTGGGCGCGCCCAGCCCCAAGAGTTTCAGCCCCCGACGCCTTTGTGGGTCCAACCCTGGTCCCGACCCCCGAGCCGAAGGCGCTGCCGCTGCAACCGGTGTACCCGGGACAGGGTGTGGGAACCCCCGGCAGTTACTTCCCGCGGACCGGGCTTTCGGTGCCTGCGGCACCCAGCGCCCCCTATGGGCTGGTGTCTGGGTACCCCGCGCTGTACCCGTCGCCTCAATACCAGGGGCACTTCCAGCTCTTCCGGGGGCTCCGGGCTCCCGCGCCCAACCCCGCAGCGCCCGCCTCCTTCCTAAGTTGTCTGGGGCCCGGAACAACGGGTGTGGGACTCGGGGGGACCGTAGGAGACCCAGGAGGGACAGCCGAAGTCGCACCGTCCAAGCGCAGCAGGCGCTCCTGCGTGCGCAAGCGGCAGGCGGCGCACACTTGCACGCACCCGGGCTGCGGCAAAAGTTACACCAAGAGCTCACACCTGAAGGCGCATCTGCGCACGCACACCGGTGAGTGAGCGAAATGCGGAGCTGGAGGCCGGGCTTGGGGCTGGACAACCGAGTTAGGGGAGTGGCTGGAAGGGAAGACCCTGTACTAGGGTCGGACCTGAGGTTTCAACTGCTACGGAGTCTGCGAGCTGAGGGCACGCTTGCAACGCCAGGAGCGGGGCTAAAGTACCTAAAGCGCTGTGGAAGGTAGGTGGGGATGGAGATGAGACCTAGAGAAATTGGGGAGTGTTTCGGGGAACTGGCGGCTAAGAGCTGGGCGAGGCACCAGCTGAGGAGATGAAAGCCGGGCTACTGGCCTAAGGTTACCCCTAGACTAGAGGAAGACTTCGAGATAAAACCCCCTTGGAATGCCAGGGACAGGCCCCAAAGACACAGGATTCAGGGTTGGGGCAAGCCAGGAGCTCAGAGTTAGGAGATGTAACCAGGAGTATAAAGGTGTCTAAAGCAGGTTGCTAGGTACTGAGGTGCACCAGACGTCAGGGAGTGTGACCTGGACTCAGGAGGTGAGACTACAAGATGGAGAAGTACAGGGGCCCACCAGCATAGGCAGGTCCGGGAGGGGAGGGTGACTAGCAGGGAAACAGAGAAGAGTAGGCTTAGGAGAAACTGGGTCCCAAGGATCCAAAGACCAGGGCAGGGCCCTGGAAGAGAAGCAGGAAGAGGAGGAACGAGGCCTTACCAGCGGTGGGGCCAGGTGGACAGACCTGTCCAGGGTCGCAGGTAGGGAGGGGCCAGGTGTAACACGGAGAGTGCAATCCTCCCACACCAGACATCTAACACAAGGTGAATTGCAGAGTTTAAGAGCCAAGGCCAGGGGTGGGCAGCAGCTAGAAGTTTCCCTGGGGTAAAAGAGGAACTGGAACACAGGGTGCAGGGCCAAAAAAAGAAAAGAACAAAACAGAAAAGAAAAAAAAAACAAAAAACAGGGTGGGTGACTTTAGGACACAGGAAGGGTGCCCAAGCAAAACAAGCATAATAATAATGGAAGCAGTGGTGCACGGGATACACCCAGGAAGTGAGGAAGGCAGCTTCAGGAAGATGCTAGTACCTGAGAAAAGGTGAGGGTCACAGAGAGGAGGAGAGACTCCTTTCCCCCCTCCCGAGAGTGGGTGTCTCTTTACATTTTGTACTCTAGGCCCCTTATTTGCTTTATTCTAGTCCCTGCCTAGGCTGCGCAAAGGAGGACAAGACTGGGGGGAGTGGGGTGGGAGCTCAGTGGTGCTCAAGACTTCCTTGCCCCGCAGGGGAGAAGCCATACGCCTGCACTTGGGACGGCTGCGGCTGGAGGTTCGCGCGCTCAGATGAGCTGACCCGCCACTACCGGAAGCACACCGGACAGCGTCCCTTCCGCTGCCAGCTCTGCCCGCGTGCTTTTTCACGTTCTGACCACCTAGCCTTGCATCTGAAGCGTCACCTTTGAGTCCTGTCCAGCCACTTGGACCTTCCTGTGGACTGAGGATAGAACAAGAGCCGATCTATGAGTGTGGTTTTCCTTCTGATGGACACTTGCCTGGAAACGCTGCCCCTCAGAACCACAGATCCCGCCGCCTAAAGATTGAGGACTGACCCATAGACCTGGGGAGCCTCCAAAAGAAGCTCCCACGTGTCCTTAGACACATAGTCACACAGAAATGTCCAACGGTCATGCAGACACAGCGAGACAGACTTCCAAATGAACAATTCAGATAGACATTCAGACTTCCGCCAGAGAGACACTCCGCTGGACCCTTAGACCAGCTCACAGGAGGCCCTGGAAAGTGGGAGGGTTGTGGGCTGAGGCCTCCCTGGGTCCAGAAGGGGCTTCACACTGTGACTTGCACAGTGGCTGCAGTCCGCTGTGAATGGTTATTATGGGTCCTGTAAAAATGCCCTCCCAGATAAAGCTTCAGTGTTGGACCGACTTTGTGGGTTTTGAGTGCTGGAAGATGGGAGGAATGTGCACCCCCAGATGGGAGGAATGTGCACCCCCAGAAGTGGGGGTCATACACACCATTATCTCCTAAACCTCTGCTACACCACCTTGCAGGCCTTGCTACCTCTTCCCCTCAGCCTCCTAGCACCCACCCAAGATTGGTCCACATCGTCCTTGCCTTCTGCCTTGAACACCAGGGACAGTCATAGTGACCGTGTCCCTCCATTTAAGAGCCCTCAGCCTAGTACCAGAGCCCTAGTACCCCTTGTCTTGTTACCATCCAAGCTACTAGCCTCTAAGCCAGGCTAGTAGCTTGGAAAACTTGCAGAATGAAAAGGGGAGGACTGAAGTACGAGAACAACTTAACAGAGCAAAGATCACAGGAATTAAACCTCAGGCTGTAAAGCAGGAAAGGAAAACAAAATCCAAATTTGCATTTGACCCAGAAAGCTGTGGAGCAGCGGGGTCCCGCGTAGGAGTGTGCACGGGCATTGGCCAGATTTAAAGAGACGAGGGACGTGAGCTTTGACTCGCCGGGAGAGGAATAGGAGGCCGGACTCGGCGCCACCTGACAGTAGAGGGGCGTGGTCGGGACCGAGCGCTGGAGGGTGGAGTGTATCTGGTCTTGTTCTAGGGAAGCAGGAGGCGGGCCTGCGAGGAGCGACTCCCCGAAAGGAAGCCCCGCCCCCGGGGGGCCCGGGGCTGACTTTTCTGATCACTGCTTCTCTACTCGCGGGCGGAGTCTCCAAACTCGTGATGCTGCGGCCCCGATTCCCAAGCAGGTTTGGAGAAGTGAAAGTCGCCTGGGGTCGGACGTGCCCCAGCTCGTGACCCAGCGGCCCGCGGTCCCGACGCAGATTCCTCCACTCCAGGCCCATGGCCACGCTGAGCCCGCTGCTGCTGGCGGCGCTGCTGTGGGTCCCTGCAGGCAGCCTGACCTGCTATGGAGACTCAGGGCAGCCTGTGGACTGGTGAGTGCGCGGGCACCCACCCTTCCAGCTCCTCTGGTCTGGGGGTTGCTGCGCTCCTTCACGGCTTAGGGTAACCATTTCGTCCTCCATTTCCGTCTACGCCCCAAACTCCAGGTTCGTCGTCTACAAGCTGCCGGCCCAAAGTGGATCCGGCGATGCGGCGCAGAGAGGGCTGCGGTATAGATACTTGGACGAGCACTCAGGGGGCTGGCGCGACGGCGCAGGGTCCATCAACAGCTCGGAGGGGGCGGTGGGGCGCAGCCTGCTGCCGCTGTACCGGAACAATGCCAGTCAGGTGAAGGGGTGCTGGGTGAACCCGGGGTGGGACTTTAAGGTGGATCAGGCCTGGGGGAAACCTTGACGTTGCCCTGTGCATCTCTTCAGCTGGCCTTTCTACTCTACAACGACCAGCCGCCCAAACCCAGCAGAGTTCTGGACTCTTCCAGCCGGGGGCACACAAAGGGTGAGGACTAAACTGGAGACTGGGAAGGGCTCTGGTTTCCCTAGGTATCTTCCCCTGACCTCGGAGGAGGTGGCTGTGCTGTCAGACCCTGGGCCTCTGTTTCCTCCTCTTAAATTATCCTTCCTCTGGACTATGAGAATTGACTACTGTGGCAATAGCTCCACAGTGTGACCTCTACACTGCCCAAGCCCTCTCAGGCCCCCTGCAAACCAAGCGTGTTCCTGGTTGCATGTGTGCTTGTTGGGAGCCTCCAGCAGTCCCCTGATTCCTGTCTTCCGGTTCAGGTGTGCTGCTCCTGGACCAAGAAGAGGGTTTATGGCTGGTCCACAGTGTTCCTCGCTTCCCTCCACCTGCTTCCTCCGCTGCATACAGCTGGCCTCGTAATGCCCAAACCTATGGGCAGACACTGCTTTGTGTGTCTTTTCCCTCCGCCCAGTTCCTGAAGATTGGTGAGTGGGGAGAGGGAGGCACACTGAGTGCCTCACCCCCAGCCTATGATGTGGAACAGTTCCTTTTCTCCTCCTTTTGTCTTTCAGGCAGACAGCTGACCTACACCTACCCCCTGGTATATGAACACAAGCTGGAAGGGGCCTTCTCTGAGAAATTCCCTGAGCTGGAGATGTTGATCAAGGGCCACCATGTTCGCTATGGACCTTGGAACAGCAGTGTAACACTCACATCAAAGGCAGGGGCCACTTTCCAGAGCTTTGCCAAATTTGGAAACTTTGGAGATGGTGAGCCCTGTGGTTGAGAGTTAGAGAAACTTTCTTTGCGGTGGGGATATCTGGTGTGTACATGGCTAATGGCAGATCAAGGATAAGGAGGACCAGGACTCTTTGGGAGTCATAGCATGAGAGGCAGACAATCAATAGGCCTGGGTTCAAATATTAGTTTCTAACTGTGTGATGCATGATTTACCTGAAACTTTAGCTTGCCTACCGAAAAAATGGTGATACCAGTAGCTACCTTAAAGGATTTTTGTGATGCATGTGAAAGTGTTTAGTAATGGCTATGAATCTTACTGTTGTCATTTCCAGGCTTGACAGGAACTGGCAACTGAGGAAACAGCTCAGAGAGGGGAAGGGGCCTAGGAAACGCCTTACAGTGACCTTGACGCTACCTATATCCTCTTTCCACTCTCTGCAGACCTGTACTCTGGCTGGTTGGCAGAAGCCCTTGGCAGCAGCCTGCAGGTGCAGTTTTGGCCAAACTCTCGTGGCACCCTGCCTTCCAACTGCTCTGGGGTCCACCATGTGCTCGATGTGACCCAGATAGCCTTCCCTGGGCCAGCTGGGCCAGACTTCAATGCCACAGAAGACCACTCCAAATGGTGTGTAGCCCCAGAAGGACCCTGGGCCTGTGTGGGTGACATGAATCGGAACCTCAGAGAGGAGCACCGGGGCGGTGGCATACTGTGTGCCCAGCTCCCCACCCTCTGGAAGGCCTTCCAGCCTCTGGTGAAGGCCTGGGAACCCTGTAGGGAAGAAAGCAGGAACTTCTCTCCAGCAAGCCCAGGAGAGCATACAAGAGCTAACCCTTAATTATGTCCTTGATCTGACTGTGACTCAGCCTAATCATCTGGGAAATGGGAATCATAGCACCTGACGCTGGAATATTGAGGAATAAAGGCAAATCGATGAATGGGGTTATTAACCCCTTTGTCAGGTGAGCACTGATCTCTGAACAGCACTGCAGCTCCCAGAGGGCCTCTTGAGGCAACTGAGCTCCAAAGTGGTACTGCAAGAGGGGGGCCACCTAAGACTCACCTCCCTCTTTGGTAACCAGGACTGGAGTTCTGCCCCTGAGCAGATACAGGGCCACAAACATGTTTTATAGACGGGGTGAGTACAGAAAGGTCACGGAGCACGGTCGTACTTTATTTATATGTGTACATATGTATACAGGTCGCTGTACAGCGCAGGGCCAGGAGTCCTCTCAGCTATGGGCTAGGTGGTGTGGGTCAGGGTGCTCCCTTTTTGGTCAGGCCTGCTGGGGGCACAGCTTCAGCAGGGCACCGGGAGGTCAGCCCCACCTCAGGTTTGGTAGCAGGAACCAGGAGGGAAGTCGGTGGGGCTGGGGGTCCTGCACCACTGGGTGCATTCTTCGTGGGGGTTAGGGACGGGGTCTGGGATTCTGGGGAAAGCTTGGGGGAAGCGGGCTTGGAACGAGGTCCACTCAGCGTGGTCCGTTCCTCTACTACCTCCAGTACCCAGCGCTCCCGGCCCCGGGGGACCTCAGGGGCAGGAGATGCCAAGTGTACAGATTCCCGTGACCCCTTGGAGTCTGCTCCTGGTGGCTGGAGAGTCTGGTCCTGGGTCCCAGGCCGCACTGGTTCTACGACAATGGGCACCAGAGGTGTGCCCACCTCACCAGAGCTACTGCGCCGGCCTGTCTCGTGTTCCTGCACTGGACTCAATGCAGCCTTAGCCACAGCCCTTGCTGCCCCACCCAAGACATCCTCTGTCTGCACACTCTGATGCCGCGTGCAGCTGGTGTCCCGCTCCAGGGTCCTGCTCCCAGGGGTGGTCGCACGGGGTGGGGTGGACGCCTCAGTGTTGCAGAGTGACTCCTCCTTATTAGACTTCGATGGCCTGAGGGCACCCTCAGGCAGCAGTGGTTCTGAGCTCAGGCTCAGGGGAGACTCCTGGCGGCCCAGGCGGCGAACGGCAACCTGCCTCTGAGCACCAGGACCCTCAACAGAGGGTGTCTCACCATCAGACTCAGCGAGGCTATGCAGCGCCAGCTCACCATGGAAGTCCTTTCGGAAATCTGGGTGGCCCACCTCGAGGCTGTGTTTGCGCAATGCACCCTTCTTATCGGCACCCAGGGAGGCTCCCAGCTTCTCAGCTGATTGCACACGTTTAAGGAGCGGTGAGCGTGGGGGTTCAGCACTCTTGGGGCGTGGGCGCACCACAGGTGGTGATGAGTGTAGTTTGGCAGGAAAGCTCTGTGTTGTGTTGGAGCTACCCACAGTATGGCCTGGCAGTGGTGGTGGCGAGGCCTGCGTCGGGGATGGTGTGTGAGCCAATGGCGACAGAGGGATGTTACCCGCTGACTTACAACGAGCAGAGCGGTACTGGCGGTGCAGTTTTGGTGACAGACCATGCAGTGTACTGGGCCGGATGTGGTGTGATGCAGACGAAGCTGGTGAGTTGGGTGTGCTGGAGGCCGGTGAGCTGCTCTGAGAGGAGGCACCTACAGTTGAGAGAGGGTATTGTGTGCAGCAGGCACACCAGGGCTCCAGACCAGTCATACCACACATCCCACAGTCTCTGACCCCAGCACATGACCAGCTTACCTAGGTAGGCGGAGTCTGGTGTGGAGCGGTAGCTGTGGGTGGGAGAGCGGGCAGGGAGCCCATGTGTGGGCGAGCCAGGAAGGCTGTCGCTGGACGACAAGGAGCGGTTCAGCGATGACAGTGAGCGGCTAGTGTGCAGTAGATTTGACTGCTTTGTAATCTTCCGGAAGAGAGAGCTGCGCTTCTTGCTGGCGGGACAAGACCACCAACCCTTGATCAGACTCCAGACTCCCAGCTCCTCCCATTTTAGGGTCCACACCAGTGCCCCTCCCAGCCTGAAGTCCCGCCCACCACTCAAAATCTGGAGTGTTCTGAGACCTGCAGTTAGCTTTTGGCCCCACACACCTCTCCTGGCCCTCCCTGGCGGAAGGCCGCTTATTCCTCCTAGCCATTTTGGCCTTGTAGCTGCTGCGCCGCGCGGGGCCTATGCGGATGGAGGTATTTTCGAAGGGTGTTGTGGTCACAGCCACCTTGTTGCCACTCTAGGGGGGAAGGAGGTGGAAGGGGAGGAAAGAAGTTACAGCTCCCCAGAACCTCCTCCACCAACCTCTCCCCTCCCCGCAGAGTGCTCCTTCCCTTACTCTCACCTTAAGGATCAGCTCCACGACCTCAGGATGCACCATGCCATGTACAGGCTCCCCATTCACATGGGTGATAAGGTCCCCGGCACAGAGCCCCGCCTCCTGGGCTGGGCCCCCCTCCTCCACGTGCTTTGAACAGGGGCCCACAAGGACAGGTTAACAGGATTAGTAACAAGGAAATCTCACTAAGCTTATATGCCAGCCACCTGCATGTACTGTATAACACACGCACTTCATAACACTGCATGAAATGGAAATTATTTTCCTCATTTCACAAATAAAGAAACTGAAAGGGAAGTGATGGCAGGGGTCACCAAGACTGCCTAGCTCCAGAGCTTGAGCTGTCCCTCATCCCTGGAGACCTACTTTCTCCCCAACCCCATCCGGGGACATCACCCATGAGTGCTCACCCAGACAATGTGGTGGACACTGTAGACATCTGAGTCACCCATATAGACACGGATAGCCCGAAGAGTGAAGCCATACTTCTTGCCAGAGCGTTGGATGGTGATGGGAGAGCGAAGCCCACTCACAGCTGGAGAGTAGTCCCGACTGGGTGAGGAGTCTCTTGAGGATGGGTTTGAGGAGAGAGATCGAGGTGACATGGGGCTGGCCAGGGGTGAACTTCCATGAGGGTCCACTGTAGACACAGAATCATGGTCAGAGGTCAGGCAATAAGACACAGCTTTCCCAGTATCTGTTCTTCCCTCCCCCACAAGCCAAACAAAGTCCCAGGGCTCTCAATGGTCCATCTCAGAGTCAATCACTGTGGACAAGGAAAATACAGTATTTTCATTAGCCTGATCTGGCACAAATGGGACAGCCCCTCCCCCACCTTCCCTGTAACAGCCTAGCGTCACCTGCAGGAATCATGACAGACAAGGCAGTGGCTGAGGCTGACTTGATGACTTTGCCCCCAGTTCGAGCAGGTCTTTTCTCTATCGCAGGGTCTCCTGATAGCTGCTGGTGCCGTGCCCTACGCAGAACTAGGTCATTGGTGGCTCTAGGGCCTGCTGGATCCCCATCCTTCAAGGTTGGGCACAGGTCACCAGGGCGTGGCTGTTCTGCTGCAACAGAGCAGGTGGGTTAAAGGTCATTCCAAGATCACAGACTTCTGTGATGCTGTTCCTTCTGCCTGGACTGCTCTTCCACTTCTCTCACTGGATTGTGAGTTTTATGGGAGCAGGTAACACAAGCATCGAGCACAGATCCTGATACAAACACATTTGTTGACTGTGCATGGATATGGGGTGTTCCTCATGCTGATGGGAATCCCAGGTTGGAGAGTGAAGAGTGGGTGAGATCTTGTATAAACAGTACCAGGCTCATTGAAATGTCAATATAAGCTCATTAGTGAATGGGGGAAGGGGAACGGAGGGGACACTCACTGGCCTCAGGGTCCCTGGCGTTGAGGGTGCCATCCCCTTGAGCTGCCTCTTTGTGGGCCCGCGAATCCAACGAGCCCGGGGGATCGGAACTGGGCCGAGGAGGCCTGCGCAGCCGGGCCTCATCATCATCCTCTTGGGGGGTGTTGAAGCGGCTGGGCTCCAGCAGCGCTGAGAAACGGCGGCGTGCGCCCAAAGGGGGACTGGCCTCCCCTTCCAGGAAGCTGGCCTCAGACGCTGAGAAACGCTTGCTGTGCAAGGGGCATGTGGTCAGAGAAGACACGCTCCTTTGGCCCCGCCCCCAAACGCAGCCCTGCGCCAGCTCACATCTCCGGCGAGCCCCCTCTCCAGGTCTTCTCACGCAGGGTCAGGCCTCCTAGGGCCTCTCGCTTGCCGGCCACCTTCTCCTCTGAGCCTTTGGCACTCGGCTCCCTCTTGTTGGTCCCCACTGGGGTCTTGGGGTCATGCTGAGACAGCTGCTCCATACTGCTGTACACCTGTGAGGGAGGGTGGATGGCGGGGCCAGGCATGCCCAATTTTGTGTCATCCTCCTGCACCCCCAAAGTTAGGTCTTGCCCTATTTCAATTCCCACCTTGAATTATTTGCTCTCTATTCAGCCAGACCTTCCAGGCCCCACCCAAATATATGTACCCTCATCTAATTAGGCCCAGTGCCCCTCTAAATGCTGCTCCTCAAAGTGAGACAGAGCTTGGTGTTGCCACAAAACTATTCATCCTCTCCATCCCAGGTCCTGACCCCACCTTGTCCTGACCTAACCCAGCCCCCTTGGGGCCCTCCTTTCTAAAACTGTCCAGGTTCCTGTTAGAACCCACTCAATGCGAGACTATCCCAAGACTCTCATGCTGCCTCCCCACCTCTCCTCCCATCTTTCACAGACACCCACCTCACCCCCTCCGTAACCTTCCCAAAGTGAAACCCAGTGCCTGGGATCTGATTCTAGACTCTGCCCAGATAAAAAGAACCACGCCGTTCAGGCCGCCAACCTCAGACCTCACCCGGCCCCTAGCCCAGCCTCAGCCCACCTTGCTGAAGCGTGGAGAGCAGGAAGAGAATTGTCGGATCTCCACAGGCTCCTCCTCCGTTGTGTCATCCTCATCATAAGAGTTCACGTGGTGATACCTGTCTGAGCGGGCTGGGGAGGGACGTGAGCCATGTCAGTGGGCGTGGGTCCATTCCTCAGATCATACCCCCATGGGAGCCTGGTGTTAGTATGGCCATGCCCTGCCCCATGGTCCTACCTGATTCAGGTGCCACCCCCAGACTGGGTCCCTGGTCCTCTGCAAGATGGCTTGTAGCACCCCCTTCAGAGAGGCCACCCTCCCAGATCCCAATTTGGGTGCTCTCTAGCCTGGCTCCACCTCTGTCCAAGCCCTAGCCCCTGCCTCCTTCTCGGCCCTAGCACCAACTAAGCCCACACCTTGGCTCAACTATGACTAATCTCTTTGCTCCCATCCACATCCACCCTCTCAGCCTGCCATCCCCTTCCTGGTCTCACCAGACTTATACTCAATTTGTCACATACTTCTTAGACTGAGCCCCACATCCACATCACACCATGCCTCTGCTGCCTTAGCCCTTTCCTTTCCTTCAGTGGGTCCCATCCCAGGCCTACTCAAGGACTACATCCTCAGGATCCCACCCCCAACTCCCACCCTCCTCCTGTTCTTGCTCACTATCGAAGTAGCTTGTGTCATCCTCTGACTCCAGGTGAGGGATGAACTCAGCCTTCTGCCTCAGCAGCCCTGTCCAGTCCAGGTCTCGAAAGAAACTGTGTTGTTTCACTTCAAAGGCACCACCTAGGGAAGATAGGGTGGAAGGGGTTGGGGAAAGAATTCCAGTAACAGCTGATGGCCTGCCCAGCCTGGGCCCCCAGATCACTGCATTTAGAGCTGAGGCTGGTTCTGGACTTAGGGAGCCCTTATTCCAGAGCAGCAGGCACTCAGGCCTGTTTCTCAGCACAATGGGTCCCTTACCTGCCCCGAGCCGGACCAAGGGGTTGGTCTGCAGGAGGCTGGATATCAGGAGTTGGGCATCTGTGGGCAAGGCCTCATCTCCCTCGGGCCACAGGATGTCATCTGCAGAGCAAGGAGGGGATGGGGGTTGTGTCTAGAGTCCATGTGGCACGGGGCCAACCCGTGTCTCCATATGCCCCACCTGCCCAACACAGAGGCACGCACCACTGATGACCTGTCCAAAAAGCTCTTCAGGTGTGTCTCCAAAGAAAGGCACACAGCCCACCAGGAACTCGTAGAGAATGATGCCCATGGCCCACCAGTCCACTGGCTTGCCGTAGCCCTGGCGCAGGATGACCTCAGGTGCGATGTACTCTGGGGTTCCACATACCTGGGGGCAGGTGGTCAGCCTGCGCCCTGACCGCAGGAGGGTCCTCGAGGGGGAACCACACCCCCCACCAGGCCCTGTACCCCACAGTGTTGCCAGGTCACTCCACCCACAGGGACTGACCCCGCCCCATGCCTGCACACACACCTGTTTGTCCAGGAACTCTCGGGCATCCTTCTCAATGTGGCCTTCATACAGGTTGGTGGTGAGGCTCATAAGCCCCATCTTGGAGAGGCCAAAATCTGTGAGCTTGATGTGCCCCATGGAGGTGATGAGAAGGCTACAAACATGAGTAGGGGCTCAGAGATGAGGCCCAAGCATGTCACTTAGGGACTTTTTCTGCCATTGCCTCCCAAGAGGCAGGAAGGGAATAACAAGAAAGGTCAAGGCTCACTTGTCAGGTTTGAGGTCACGGTGTACAATGCCATAGTTGTGCAAGTATTCAAGTGCCAGCACTGTCTCGGCGAAATACATGCGGGCCATCTCTACAGGAAGTGCCCCGATGTTCTTTAGCAGGGTGGCACAGTCCCCCCCTGCAGGTGAAGGAGTAGACTCGCATGAAGAGAGAGACATCCCAGGCCCAGAGCTGATCACTTGATAAACACCAGGTTCGCAAGTTATGTGAATCTATTTTACAGATAAAGGAAACTGAGACTCAAAGAAAGGTCTCCCTATCTTTAGATTACATAGGAAGTGCCTTTTACCAGGCTTTTAGGCATCGTCCAAAATTGGTATGATCTGAGACTCAGAGAGAAGTTGGGTTATGCAAGGAATTGATGGTGGGAGGTGAGGACTGAAGGCTGTCTGCTTATGAACTGAGTCTGATAGCCCTACCCTTGATATAACTGGAGTCTGAACAATGACAGTTGGAGCCTTAAGATGTAAAATAATGATCAGCCCCCACCAGAATTATTGTAAGCAGCATTCCCAGGGTCAGATTTTCTTCCAAGTGTAGTATCTAGGGTAACACAAAACCAAAGCAGCTGTAATGAGTCAGTTCTTGGACTTTCCTATTTTCACAAAGATTGCCAAGTTCATAGGTTGTAAGCTGGGATCTGCTGGATGGCAACCTCACTATATCAGAGACTGTCCAAAGGGTGGCCCATACATGGGAAAGCAGAGCCAAGACATGGAAAGAGTCCTAATGACATGATTTGAGCACCTAGATACAGCCATTCCTGAAGGTGATCATGAGTTTTTTATTATAAGTCATAACTTTCTTTTTTTGTGAGCCATACTTAGCTGGGTTATAAAAACTTACAAATCAGATTCTTTGAGGGTGCTGCCCAGGAACCTGCATTTAACCACAATCCCAGGTAATCTGACACATATACTTATGCTAAAAACCAAGATGGGATGACTCCAGATGAGACTTCAGGGGCTAGATAATGCTCAACTCACCAAAAAAAATGCAGATTTTGGGCCTCCCCGGTGGCGCAGCGGTTGAGCGCTGGGTTGCGGAAGCTACCCGCAGCCTCTGCAGCGCCGGTTCGATCCCCGGCTGCTCCCCAGCCACCGGAGGAGGGTCCCGCATGGCGCGCAGACCTCTCCTGCCACCCGCTGCTCCCCTCAGCAGTGTACTTCCATCCTTCTGCCTGCTCTGCTCCCCGCTCTGGCTCTGGTGAATTCTCTCACCCTCCCACGCTTCTGACTGTACCCAGTGCATGGATAAATAAATAAATAAATAAATAAATAAATAAATAAATCTTTAAAAAAAAAAAAATGCAGATTTTGCTCACTTCTCTCTCCTCCAAGTGACCTAATCACCTCTACCTTGGTCTCCCTGTTTCTGCCCTCCCCATGGCAGCTAAATGAATATTCTTAAAACACAAATCAGATCATAGCAACTCAGCTTAAAATGCCTCAGTGGCTGCCTATTACACTCAGTATGAATCTGATGCCAATTTGGGGTCTCCGAGATCCTGCATGCTCACCCATCACTCATCTCCACATCCCTCACTCTACTTCTCTCTCACTCGACTACAGCTCCATTGGCTTCCTCACTGCTTCACCAAACTGACACATGCTTACTTAGGAGACTTTGTGCATTGGGTTCCCTCTTCTGGTCTAGGGCAGACCTCAAAGAGGTCCCCTGCCTACCCTATGGCCTCCTTGAATTTCATGGTCCTCAGTGCTGTCCTCACTACATGAAAGGACCCAGTCTCTTTGCCTTGTTATGCCCAGTTATTATCTGTCTATACAGATCAGAATGAACCTCTTTGAGGAAGAGGTGTTTGTCTGGGCCCCCACTGTGACACCAGGGCCTAAAACAGAAAATGGAATGAAGGAGATGATGGGAGAATATCAACTGAGTGACCAAATAGTTGAATAAAGCTTGAGCATGGAGTTTTAGCCCTCAACATGTAGTTGAGGCCATGCATGTTTTGGATGGATTAGTGTTGAATGAATATCATCATGGATGTATGGATAAACATGAAAAACATATACATTGGTGGTTGGATGAATGGATGGATAGTAAAAAGATGGATGGATAGGACCTCCCTGGTGGCGCAAGGGGTTGGGATGCAACCTATGTAGCTGTCCACAGCCTCTGCAGCATGAGTTCGATCCCCAACCGGCCAAGGAGCAACCCACATGGCGCAGCACACCTCTCCAGACTCACCCGCTCAGCATTGTACTTTGGTTGATCTGCCTGTTCTGTTCCCCACTCTTTCTCTGGTGAACCCTCTCACCTCCCCATACGTCTGGCCTGTACCCTGGCTCTTGTATGTATAAATAAATAAATCTTAAAAAAAAAAATGGAGGGATAAACTGATGGATGAATTGTGGATGAATGGATGGATAGCTAGATGCTATAGATGCTGGAATGGAGGGTTGGATGAATGAATAAATATGACTAGATATGAAATGGATAGATGGATGCAGAGATAGATGATACATTGATAAATTGATAATTAGGTATTGGTAGATTGATGAATGGTTAAGTATGTGGATAAATAAATGATGGATGGATAAAAGGCAAGGTGGATAAAAAATAAATGTACAACACAATGAATGAACTCTAATTCACTTTAGTTAATAATGTATCAATATTGATTGATCAGTTATAACAAATGTACCCCTAATACAAGATGTAAATAACAAGGGAAATGGGGAGATGGGGTTAAGTGGAAACTCTGTACTTTCTAGTCAATTTTTTTTGTAAATCTAACTGCCCTTAAAAAATAAAATCTAGGGCCTCCCTGGTGGCCCAGGCAGTTGAGCGCTGCACTGTGAAGCTGTTCACAGCCACTGCAGTGTAGGTTTGATCCCGGCCGGCAGGCAAGAATCCCACATGGCAAAGCAGACCTCTCCTGTCATGCCTGCTGCTCCCCTCAGCAGTGTATTTCTTCAGTCTGCCTGTTCTGTTCCCCGCTCTGTCTCGGTGAATCCTCTCACCCTCCAGTGCATCTGGCCTGTATCCCGGTTCTTATAAAAAAATAAATAAATCTTTAAAAATAAAATAAAATAGGGCCTCCCCTGGTGGCGCAGAGGTTGAGTGCTGGGCTGTGAAGCTGCCCGCAGCCTCTGCAGTGCTGGTTCAATCCCCGGCCATGGGCGAGGTTCCCACATGGTGCGACAGACCTCTCCTGCTGCGACCACTGCTCCCCTCAGCAGTGTATTTCGTCAGTCTGCCTGTTCTGTTCCCCGCTCTGGCTCTGGTGAATTCTCTCACCCTCCAGCGCTTCTGACTATACCCAGTGCTTGTATAAATAAATAAATAAATCTAAATAAATAAATAAATAAAATCTAGGGGCCTCCTTGGTGGCGCAAGGGGGTAAGCATTAGCACAATGAAGCAATCCGCAGCTACTGCAAGAGTTCAATCCCCGGCCAGGGAGGTGACCCATATGGCACAACAGACCTATCCTGTCTCACCCGCTGCTCCCCTCAGCAGTGCATTTCAGTCAATCCGCCTGTTCTGCTCTCTACTCTGTCTCTGGTGAATCAACTCACCCCCTGCACCTCTGACCTGTACCTCAGTTCTTGTGTGCATAAATAAATAAATCTTTAAAAAAAATTAAATCTAAAAAATAAAAAAATAGAAAATAAAAAATAAAATCTATTTATTTTTAAAAAATAAATGTAGGGGCATCCCTGGTGGTATACGGGTTAACTCTCAGCACTGTCATCACTGTGGCCTGAGTTCAATCCCTGGCCTGGGAGCTAACCCACATATGGTGCCTCAGACCTCTCCTGTCTCATCCACTGCTCCCCTCATCAGTATATATCAGTAGATCCACCTGTTCTTCTCCCCACTCTGTCTCTGGTGAAGCCTCTTACCCCTGAACCTCTGGCCTACACCCCAGTTCTTATATGCATAAATAAATAGTTAAAATAAATAAATAAATAAATTTAAATTGGATGAACAATTGTATAGATGTGCAACTATAGATAACTGGATGGATGGATAGACGGAGAGATGGTGTATAGATGTACTGATAGAAAAAATGATGGATTAGATGTGAATAGATGGATGAATGGATAGATGAACAGCTAGTTGGATGGATATATATTGAATGAAATGAATAAACCAATAGAAGACTGGATACAAGTAAGGAGATGGAGTGGATAATCAATAACTAGATGGGTAAATAGGTGGATAAATAGTCAATATGGGGAGTTGGGATCCAGCAGGCCACCCAGCAGCCCCAATCAGTGTGCACTCCCCCATTTTCCCTTCAACTTGCAGGTAGCCACACCTTCCACATACTCCATAACCATGCAGAGGTGGCGTCGGGTCTCAAAGGAGCAGAACATGCCGACCACAAAGGGATTCTCGGCAAAAGTGAGGATGTCCCGCTCCACGAAGGCTTGCTGAATCTGGTTGCGCAAGATGAGGTTCTGCTTGTTGATTTTTTTCATGGCGAAGCGCTGCCTGGTGTCACGATGCCGCACCAGGTAGACTGCGCTGCAGGGGGAGAGAGCAAGGACTGGCCATCACCTCGGAGACACCCGGCCTCTGCCACACTCCCCCCACTAGAGCCCCAGGTGGCTCACCCATAGGCACCATTGCTTATGAGCTTGATAGTGTCAAAGTCATTCTCTCCAGGAGGTTTCTTAGCCTTTGTGGTGGTGCTGCGGCCCTGTAAGGGAAAGTCGGAGATCATCATCATGAGATTGGGACTCTCACTATTTTACTTTACACAGGGGAACTGAGGCAAAGAGAGCGTGGGGGTGGGTTCTTCATTCAAGTGCCACAGTGAGGGAATAACCAAGTCAGGACTTGAACAATGATGGACTCTGAAGCCACATTCTCAAAATTTTTTAATGGACACTTTGGTATACATCATATTACTATACACCTAGTAAGAAGCCTACAAAATGGATAATTACGCTAATATATATAGAGCCCCCAGAAATCAGTAACAGAAAATCTAACAATTAAAGATTTTTATTTTTATTTATTTATTTTTAAAGATGTATTCTTTATTCATACAAGAGCGGGGGTATAGACCAGAGTCGCAGGAGGGTGAGAGGATTCACCAGAGACAAAGCAGGGAACAGAACAGCCAGATGGACCGAAAGCACTGCTGAGGGGAGCAGCAGGCGAGACAAGAGAGGTCTGCCTCACCATATGGGATTCTCCCTGGCTGGCCGGGAATCGAACTGGCTGCAGACAGCTTCACAGTGCTTCGCTCAACCTGCTGTACCACCGGGAAGGCCCCAATTGAAGATTTTTAAATGGAAAAATATGTGAACTAGACCTAGACCTTGTAACCACATGAAAAGATGCTGAACCTCACACACAATAACAGAAAGGCAAATTAAAACTATCCCCAAGAGGCCTCCCTGGTGGCGCAAGGGGTTGAGCACCGTATGATGAAGCAAACTGTGGCCTCTGCAGCACAAATTCAATCCCCAGCCAGCCAGGGAGAAACCACATGACAAGGCAGTCCTCTCCTGTCTTGCCCACTGCTCCCCTCAGCAGTGTGTTTCGGTCCGTCTGCCTGTTTTGTTCCCCATTTTGTCTCTCGCCCCCCACATCTCCGAGCTGTACCCCAGCTCTTGTATGCATAAATAAATAAATCTTTTTAAAAAATAAAAAAGAAATAAAACTACCCCCAAGATACCATTTTTCACCTAGCATATTGGGGGAAAAAATCCAAAAGGTTGACATATCTTTGAGGGCAAAGCTGCAGGGACTTTGACACCTTGCTGTTGGGAGTTTAAATTGGTACAACCTCCCTGGAAAATACTTTGCTGTATATCAAAATTACAGCAAATTTAGTACAGCAATTTCATGCTCCAGACATACTTGCACATGTGATAAAATGACATGTACTATCTTGCTCATCACAAGATTAGAGTAAATTCGGGGCCTCCCCGGTGGCGCAGCGGTTGAGCGCTGGGTTGCGAAGCTGCCCGCGGCCTCTGCGGCGCCGGTTCGATCCCCGGCTGCTCCCTGGCCACCAGAGGAGGGTCCCACATGGCGCGCAGACCTCTCCTGCCGCCCGCTGCTCCCCTCAGCAGTGTACTTCGGTCCTTCTGCCTGCTCTGCTCCCCGCTCTGGCTCTGGTGAATTCTCTCACCCTTCTGCGCTTCTGACTGTACCCAGTGCATGTATAAACAAAACAAACAAACCAGCAAACAAATAAATAAAGCATGCCTCTATAAAAAAAAAAAAAAAATAAAAAAAATAAAATAAAAAATAAAGATTAGAGTAAATTCATATTCCCATCCACAGGAAATTGGTTAAATAAACATGAGGCACATCTATATGAAGGAATATTTGCTACTGTCTAAAAAAATGAGGAACCTCTTTGTACACTGATTCAGAAATTATAAAGTTCAAAGTACTCTGGTAATGGGGGGAGAGCAAGGAACAATATGTGCTCTATACTTTTGTGTAAAAAAAATAAAGGCAGCAAATGGAACTATATACAGTCACACGTGACTTTAGAGAGATATGTTCTGAGAAATGTGTCCCTAGATGATTTCATTGTTGTGCAAAAGTCAGAGTGTAATTACACAAACCTAGGTGGTACAGCCTAACACATACCAAAGCTAGAGGGTGAGACTTGTTAGACCACCATCATATGTGAGTCTGTCATGGGCTGACATGTCATTAAGCAATACATGGCTATAATCCTAGTTGGTAGGATATTGGGTAATGGGAGACAAGTGTGGATATAAGACTTTTCATTGTAAATCTTTTTTTTAAAGATTTTTTTATTTACTTGCTTATTTATTTATGCATACAAGAACTGGGGCATAGGCCAGAGGTACATGGGGTGAGAGGATTCACCAGAAACAGAATGGGGAGCATAACAGGCAGATCTACTGAAATACACTGCTGAGGAGAGCAGCGGGCAAGACAGGAGAGGTCTGCTGCACCATGTGGGTTAGGCTCCCTGGTTGGAGATCGAACTCATGCCGCAGTGGCTGGTGATAGCTTGATAGCATTGACACTTTAACCCCTGTGCCACCAGGGAGGTCCCATAAATCTTTTTTTGAAAATTACTTTTATTTTCCTTAGGGGCAAAAAGTTTCATTATATAAATATTACACAAAGAGATATGAAATATAAAACTATTGACTTGTATGCACCTAAGAATGTAGCCTAAAATACCTGACACAAAAATGGACAGAATTACAGGACCGATTGATCAAAACAAGGAGTTAACACATATCGCTCAGAAACTATTAGATCAATGAGGCAAAAAAAAAAAAAAAAAAAGGAATAGAGACATGGAAGATTTGAATCACTAAGTGACAAATTTGTGTGGACATACATAGACTCCTATAAACAACATTAAAGATAAATACCTTTTTAGATTTATGAATGATATGATTGCATTATCTATTTAAAAAATTAAATGGCATGTATAGTGAGATTCTTTTTTTTTTTAAAGATTTATTTATTTATTTATACAAGAACCGGGGTACAGGCCAGATGTGCGGAAGGGTGAGAGGATTCACCAGAGACAGAGTGGGGAACAGAACAGGCAGACTGATGAAATACACTGCTGAGGGGAGCAGCGGGCAAGACAGGAGAGGTCTGTCATGCCATGTGGGACCCTAGCTGGCTGGCCAGGATCGAACCAGCGCTGCAGAGGCTGCGGGCAGCTTCATAGTGCTGCGCTCAACCGCCTGCACCACCAGGGGAGGCCTATAGTGAGATTCTTTTAAGATGTAGTTAAAAAGATGTGTGACTGGGATCTCCCTAGTGGCACAGGGGTTAAAGTCTCAGTGCTACTAAGCTATTGCCAGTCACTGCAGCATGAATTTGATCCCCGGCCAGGAAGCTGACCCACATGGCACGGGAGGCAGCAGACCTCTCCTGTCTCGCCTACTGCTCTCCTCAGCAGTGTATTAACTAGATCTGCTCCCTACTCTGTCTCTGGTGAATCCTCTCCCCCCATGCACCTCTGGCCTACCCCACAATCCTTGTATGCATAAATAAATAAAAATAAATCTTTAATAAAAATAAAATAAAAAGATGTGCAGCTGTGAATTGATAGGTACAATTTGAAACAAAAACAACAATTTCACGCTTCTCTGGTAGCCTAGTGGTTAAGTCTCAGCACTGTCACAATAGCCTGAATTCAATCCCCAGCCAGGGAGCTAACCAACATGGCGCAGCTGACCTCTCTTGTTGCGCCTGCCGCTCCCCTCAGCAGATCTGCCTATACTGCTCCCCACTCTGTCTCACCATCCCCCCCCACCTCTGGCCTACACCCAGTTCTTCTGTGCAAAAACAAATAAAGTATTTTTTAAAAATTACAAACTCAAATTCTTTGGGGGGCTAGACAGACTGGGTGGGGTCCATGGGGACTACCTTTTCAGTGCCAGATGGTTACAACACAGTATGGTCAACACAGTGTGATCAGAACTTCTAAATTTTCCAAAGAAAGCTCAAACCCTAATATCAACCTCAAATCTATTGCTTTCTGTATTTTGTTTTAATTTTTTGGAAGATACTAGATAGTTCAGAGAAAATACGTGTGGCCACCATGGCAGGCAGTCTCCACTAGACATGAGGTGGGACTGTGGCAATCTTCACTATGCTGACTCCATACAGGATACCTTAGTCAATTAAACATAGATTACCAAATGACCCAGCAATTCTGCTCCTTGGGATATGCCCAAAAGAACTGAAGTGATTATTCAAACAAACGTGTGTACACAAATGTTCATAGCAGCTCTATTCATGTAATAGCCCAAGATGGAAACAGCCCAAATGCTGGATAATGAATAAACAAAATGTGGTCTATCCACACAATGGAAAATGGGCCATAAAAGGGAATGGAGCACTGATTCATGCTCCAAGATGGATGAAAGCATTATGCCAGACACCAGTGGCTACAAAGTAAATGATTCCATTTATATGAAATGTCTAGAAGACGCAAATCCATGGAGACAGAAGGTAGATTAATGGCTGCCAGGGACCGAGGCAGAGGGAGGAATGGGAAGTGAATATTACAACGCTTCCTTGTGACAGGATGAATGTGCTCTGGAACTAAGCAGTAGTAGTGAGTGCCCAACATTGTGAATGTACTAAACCACTGAATTGTTTTATGTTTTTTTCTTTTTTAACTTTTTATAATTGTTCATTTAAAAATACCTAAACTGGCACATTTTATGTCATGTGTATTTTACCATGAAAAGAAAAAAAGTAATGGGAGGAACAGTTATTATTAATACATTTTTAAAAGGCTCAGAACTGGGAACCAAGGGATCCACTCGGCTTGAGGGCAGAGAGCTGGGTGAGCCCTGGCTTGTCACTCTGGCCAGAACCAAAGTACCAACCACTGGCCACCTGGCCTTACCTCAGAGAGGTCGTCCTGCTCAGGTGTGTTAGAGCCGCCACTGTCCTGTTCCTCCAGGTGCACCACATCTAGGAAGGACTGAAAGTGAGTAAAAGCTGGTGTCTGGGCTACTTTACCCACAACCCCTGTGCCCACCCACTGGCACCTGGAAAGGGGTCTCGAGTGAGGCCCAGCTGACGGATGATGTAGCGGGGGATGTCTGTCTTGACAAGGTGGCCCTCCTTGGCATGACCCTCGGCCGCTTCCAGTAGGTGGTAGAACTCCTCAGGGTTGAATTCCTGAGGCAGGGCAGGGGTGGGCTCGAAGCAGGCTCTCAGAGGTCTCCACAGGCCCCCCTGCCTTGCCCAACCCCCTCACCAGGCACTCTAGCAGCCTTGCTGGTCGTGAGATGATAATGAGCAGCTTCTTCACCAGCTGAGTGACAAAGGCCACCTCCAAGCTCTCCGAGCGTTCATAAGCCTGGGGGGGTGGGAGGGACAGTGTGGGGGTAGGGTCTACAGGGGTCCTACCTCAGCCAGACCCCTATCCCAACCCCACAGAGTGCACACTGCTATTGGTCCCACTTTACACGTAAGAAGTCTGAGGCTGAGACCATGTTAAAGCCCATGATAAAGGGCTTTAATTATTATTATTCAATAATTTAATATGTAATATTGATGATTTATTATTTCATATTTAATAAAAATAATTTAGCTATAATAATTATTACTTCTATAGTAAACACTATCCTAAAGCTGTCATTCAATTAAACTTCAAAACAGCCCTATAATCCAAGAAGAGTTAGACTCCCTCTGCCTATGATGGATGCTCTCTCCTGGGATTTCTGTATAGCCCCCATGTCATCGCTTTATGAAGACCTACCCTGAACTCCCAATTTAAAATAGCACTCCTCCTCCTGATAGCACCTTTAATCACCATTACCCCATTGTACTTTTTTTTAAAGATTTATTTAGTTATGCGTACAAGAACTGGGGTACAGGCCGGGGCGGGGGAGGGGGCGGTGGGAAACAGAACAGGCAGAGTGACTGAAATACGCTGCTGAGGGGAGCAGCGGGCAAAACAAGAGAGGTCTGCTAGTCATGTGGGTAGCTCCCTGGCCGGGATGGAACTCGTGCTTCAGTGGCTGTGGATAGCTTCATAGGTTGCATCTTAACCCCTTGAGCCACCAGGGAGGCCCTACCCTACTGTACTTTTCCTTTTTTCTATGATAGAAATCTCATTCTAACTTGCCATCTGTTAATTTATCAATTATTAATTTAGACTAGGGTGAGGTAAATGAGGCACTCACCTTGGCACCAAACACCTCAGTCTTCAAGATAACTCATTTTAATGCAATATTTGGAAATCTCAAAATAATTTTAAAAATGATAAGAGCAAATTGTAAATAAATACAGGATCCAACAGGATAACAATGCACCTTTTGGAGTATAAAACAAAAGGCAATCTATGCACAGTTTTAAAATGGTTAACGGTTTCTATTAAAATTTTATTAGTTGGGGCCTCCCTGGTGGCGCAAGGGGTTGGGACGAAGCCTATGAAGCTGTCCGTGGCCACTGCAGCACGAGTTTGTTCCCCAGGCCAGCTGGGGAGCAACCCACATGGTGCAGCAGACCTCTCCTGACTTGCCCGCTGCTCCCCTCAGCAGTGTACTTTGGTTGATCTGCCTGCTCTGTTTCCCATTCTGTCTCTGATGAATCCTTTCAACCTCCACACCTCTGGCCTGTACCCCAGCTCTTGTATGAATAACTGAATAAATCTGAAAAAAAATTAACTTAAATAAATAAATAAAATTTTATTAGTCATTAATTTATTTTATTTTATTTTATTTATACCAGCACTGGGTACAGTCAGAAGCGCGGGAGGGTGAGAGAATTCACCAGAGCCAGAGCGGGGAGCAGAGCAGGCAGAAGGATGGAAGTACACTGCTGAGGGGAGCAGCGGGCGGCAGGAGAGGTCTGCGCGCCATGCGGGACCCTCCTCCGGTGGCCGGGGAGCAGTCGGGGATCGAACCGGTGCTGCAGAGGCTGTGGGGCAGCTTTGCAACCCAGTGCTCAACCGCTGCGGCACCGGGGAGGCCCTAGTCATTAATTTTTTCCATTAAAATCAGGAAAGTAGGGGCCTCCCCTGGTGGCGCTGCGGTTGAGCACTGGGCTGGGAGGCTGCCCACAGCCTCTGCAGCGCTGGTTTGTTCTCTGGCTACCAGCGAGGGTCCCACTAAATAAATAAATAAATAAATAAATAAATAAATAAATAAATAAATAAATAAAATCAGGAAAGTAAAATTATAACAAATTCTTATTTGATTAAAAGATTAAAACTTTAAATGGGATTATATGGGTGGCTGTGGATAGCTTCATAGGTTGCATAGCGGGCAAGTCAGGAGAGGTCTGCTGCAATCTGATTAAAAGATTAAAAAATTAAAAGATTGAAACTTAAAATAATATTAACTTTTAGTATACCTACATTTCAACTTTTTCAATAATTCCTTTAGTATACTGGGGACAAAATTAATCACTGTGTCACCCTACTCCCAACTCTGATGTCCAATTTGTTTTCTGTCTCTTCCTGCTAGAATGTCAGCTCCCTGACAAACGGGACCTTCTATTTCCAGCTGATTCTTCAGCTTCTAGTTGGACCCATATAAGCTTCTTAATAAATATGTGGAATGGGGCCTCCCCGGTGGCGCAGCGGTTGAGCGCTGGGTTACGAAGCTGCCCGCGGCCTCTGCGGTGCCGGTTCGATCCTCGGCTGCTCCCCGGCCACTGGAGGAGGGTCCCACATGGCGCGCAGACCTCTCCTGCCGCCCGCTGCTCCCCTCAGCAGTGTACTTCGGTCCTTCTGCCTGCTCTGCTCCCCGCTCTGGCTCTGGTGAATTCTCTCACCCTCCTGCGCTTCTGACTGTACCCAGTGCATGTGTAAACAGAACAAACAAACAAAACAAATAAATAAAGAAATAAACATGCCTCTATAAAAAAAAAAAAAATAAATAAAAATAAAAATAAATATGTGGAATGAATGAATGAATGAGCAAATCCCCCTTTTATAGAAGAACTGAGGTACAGAGAGGCTAAGTGACTTGGCAAAGGTTACACAGCAAGAAGTGATGAACTAGATGTGAACAGAGGCCACCTGGAGTCTGTACTCTTGACTCCATCTGAAGCCAATGCCCATAATGACACCAAAGGGCTGCAAGCATGAGGAAGGGTCCTGGAACCCTGAATCCTATATTCTGGTTTCTGTGACCTAGAACCCAGAATCCCATATTCTTGTTCCTGTGACCTTATCCAATCTCATTTCCTTATGACAGTGTAATCACTTGGCTGGGATTTCCCAGGCTGCCTTCCTACCTCAAGGCCTTTACATGTGCTGTTCATCCTGCTCAGCACCCAACCCCCATCCTCAACTCTTCTCATAGCTTCCACTCTCATTATTCTTGGCCCACATTACTCTTATTATGTCACCTCCTCCAGGCAGGCCTCCTGAGCCTTACAAGGAAGCCCCTGACACTTCCTCCAATTGTCCTATTCTAGTTGATTCATAGCCATAAGCATCAGCTGAAATCATTGAATTCCTTGATGTGTTTGTTTCCATGTTTCTAGTCAATCTTCCACAAATGAATTAGCAGCCTCGGCCCTCCCTGTGGTGAAGGGGTTAAGTCTCAGCGCTATCAAGCTATCACCAGCCACCACAGCATAAGTTCCATCCCTGGACAGGGAGCTGACCCACATGGCGCAGCAGACCTTTCCTGCTGCTGCTCTCTCAGTATATTTCAGTCAATCTGCCTGATCTGTTCCCCACTCTGTCTCTGTGAGTCCTCTTACCACTCCCCCCCAACCCCGGCACCTCTGGCCTGGCCTGTACCCCAGTTCTTGTATGCATAAATAAATCTTTTTTAAAAAAAGGAATTTTTGGCCTCACAAGGGCAAGAATACTTCTCTGGTTTCTTCACTGTTATGTTCCATGTCCCAGTCCACAGTATCCCAGCACACATAGGTATTCAATTAATGTTATCCATTATCTTTCACTTGAATGGGGCATTACCTTTTTTACCTTCACTTATTCATCTATCCATCCATCCATCCGCCCAATTATCCAATATTTATAGAGCACCTACAGTGTGCTGGGCACTGTGCTGGGCACCAGGGACACAACAGTAAACAGAACAAGATAACCCACTACCCACCTGTGAAATTCCATTCAAGTAGGGGAGACATGAAATAAGATAAGCAAAAATATACAAGATGATGAGCGGTACTATGTGCTAAGGAGAAAACAAAAGAAAAAACAGCGGAAAGTGTGAACAGACTCAACATTTTAAATGAGGGAGGTCTGTCTAGGAGACTATCAGAGGAAGTAACATTTGAGAAGAGACCTGCAGATGAGGGAAGTTAAATCCCTGCCTTCCGCATCAGATCAGGGTCAGGGGCCGTGTCTTTCTCTTTCACCCCTGAACCCTCAGTTCCACACCAGCACCTGACACGTGGTAGGCACTCCCTGAATTGATGTAGAGTGAAGGAATGGTTGGGGCATGGGACCTGATTTGGGGGTGTGCAGAGCCTGAGATGGGGCCAGCTTTCGGGTGCACTCACATCCTGCAGCAGCTTTTCCAGATTCTCTTGCAATTCGTAGAAGTAGACAGTGGTGATAAGGCCGTCGCGGGATTTGGTCAGGCAATCCCTCGCCAGTTCAATGATCTGGTGGTGGATGAAGCTGAGCACGCCGTCTGCCAGGGGCAGCACGCTGTCGGGTTCATAGGTATGAGCAAAGTCTCTCAGCTTCTCCTCCATCTGCGCAGTGGCCTGTGAGAGGGACAGAAGCAGGGCTAGAGAGAGGGCGCCAGCAGGAGCCTGCGCTGCGTGCACTGGCCACCAGAGGGCGCGCGGAGCTAAGACAGGGAGGGTTCCCGCCGCCCAGCCTCCCGGGGTTGCCCTGGGCCCGCCTCACCTTCGGAAACCTCTCCTTGTACACATGGTTCATCATCACGATCTCGTTGTCGTAGGAGGAGGGAGAGCGCCCGGGGCTGCGGGGAGAGAAATTCAGCGTCTAGCCCCCTGCCTCGAAACTGCAGACAGGAGTCAGATCCCCTCAGGTTTAATCTCACCCTCCAGGTTGCAAACCCAATTTATTCGTAGGTACAGCGTCTCGCAGTGCACAAACCCCCATACTGCCAACCTGAAAGAGGGCAGTTCTGACCACCTGAGACTCCGCGATCGGGGCCGCACGGCCGGGGAGCGGCGGCCACCATCCTCGTCGGTGATGCTCTCGGTGCTGCCGAAGTGTTTGGAGAGAAAGTGGAGCTCATCCACAGTGGGCTGGTAGGGCAGCTGGTGCAGGCGCTCCTGGGAGGAGCAGGAAGACTGCGGAAGGAGAGGGACCAGGGTCAGAGCCACTGTGGTCCCCCCACAGCTGGAGACCCTGGACTAGGGCTCCCAGAGCTGATAGGTCACAACACCAGGCTGGGATCAGGACCTGATTAATGTTCCTTGGATCCCAGAACCCAGGTTGTCTGTTGCCCTGTCCTGGCAACAGACAGGGCACAGGGACAAACATGGATGAGAACAGTGACACCCATATAGTTGTAGCTAGAGGGAGTTTGTTAAAACCTGAATCAAGTCACACCCCTTCGCTGTTCAGAACTCCCCATGCCTCCCACCTTAATAAGGGTAAATGTGGAAGTTCTCCCCATAGCTCATAAGGTCCTGTAAGATCTGGTCCTGTCTCCTTGCCATCGCCTCCTCCCACCCTCCCCCTTGTGTCTTCTGTTCTAGTCACACAGGCCTCTTTGATGGTCTTGGAATAAGCCAAGCACACCCCTGCCTCAGGGCCTTTGTACTAGCTGTTCTCTCTGCTGGGAGCACATCTCCTATGGATCACTCATTCTCCTTCAAGTCTCTGCTGAAATGTTATCCCTTAGGAAAGCCTCCTCTGAACACATACCCGTCATTGCCCTATCTTGTTTCTTCTAGCTGTATTTATCTCCTGACATACTACATATTTGTTATTCCTGTCTAAACCTTGAGGGCAGAGACTTGGCTCCCCTCAGTCCCTGGTCAGGGCAAATACAGATCCACAGACATCAGTGGATAGACATGAAGACACCCACTTGATGATGCAGGCAAAATGATCTTTTCTTTTTTTTTTTAAAGATTTATTTATTTATGCATACAAGAGCTGGGATACAGGCCAGAGGTGTTGGGGATGAGAGGATTCACCAGAGACAGAGTAGGGAAAAGAACAGGCAGACTGACTAAAATACACTGCCGAGGGAAGCAGCGGGGCGAGACAGGAGAGGTCTGCTGCACCAAGTGGGTTGCTCCCTGGCCGGCCGGGGATCGAACTCATTCTGCAGAGGCTGCAGATTGCTTCATAGTGCGGTGTTTAACCTCTTGTGCCACCAGGGAGGCCCCAAAATGATCTCTTTTTTTAAGATTTTATTTATTAGGTCTCCCTGATGGCACAAGGGGTTAAGTCTCAGCACTATCAAGCTATCACCAGACACTGTAGCCTGAGTTCGATCCCTTGCCAGGGAGCTGATCCACATGATACAGCAGACCTCGCCTATCTCACCCACCGCTCCCCTCAGCAGTGTATTTCAGTCGATTTGCCTGTTCTGTTCCCCATTCTGTCTCTCTGGTGAATCCTCTCACCCCATGCACCTCTGGCCTGTACCCCCATTCTTGTATGTATAAATAAATTAAATAAATTTTTTTTAATTCAAGATTTTATTTATTTATTTTTGTGTAGAACTGGAGTGTAGGCCAGAGGTGCAGGTGGGTGAAAGGATTTACCAGAGGGACCAGAACATAGTACTGAGACCTTCCTTCCTTCCTTCCTCCCTCCCTCCCTCCCTCCCCCTCCCTCCCTCCCTCCCTCCCTCCTTCCTTCCTTCCTTCCTTCCTTCCGATGTATTTATTTATACATACAAGAATTGGGATACAAGCCAGAGTTGTGGGGGTGAGAGGATTCACCAGAGACAGAGTGGGGAAAAGAACAGGCAATTGACTGAAATACACTGCTGAGGGAAGCAGCGGGCAAGTCAGGAGAGGGCTGCTGCACCATGTGGGTCACCTCCCTGGCCGGAGGATCTAATTCATGCTGCAGTGGCTGGCGACAGCTTGATAACGTTGTCTTTAACCCCTTGCACCACCAGGGAGGCCCCCCAAAATGATCTTTTTAAACATCACATCACTTACTCCCCTGCTCGAAACTCCTTGTTCCATTGGTCTCTGTTAAAATACAGGGCCTCCCTGGTGGTGCAAGGGGTTAAGACGCAACCTATGAAGCTACCCGCAGCCTGAGTTCAAGCCCTGGCCAGGGAGCTACCCACATGGTGCAGCAGACCTCTCCCGTCTCACCTCAGCAGTGTATTTCAGTCAACTGCCTGTTCTGTTCCCCACTCTGTCTCTGGTGATCCTCTCACCCCCTACACCTCTGGCCTGTACTTCAGTTCTTGTATGCCTAAATAAAATAAATCTTTATAAAAAGAAGAAAAGAAAAAAAAAAGAAAAAACAAATGATTCATAACCTGTCATTCTGTAATGACAATTTCAGACAGTTTAGACCAAAATTTAAGTACAATTTAATATAAAGCAAAAAGATCTTTCTATGACTTCTGAGTGCATTTCAAATACAATCTAACTCCTCCCCCTGACTGACAAACTCCAGCATGATCAAGTTCACTGCCAAATTTCCTCCATTCCTCCACTCCCAGCCCAAAGCTCCAGTCACACACTTGGAAACCTTTCACACTTGGAAATTTCTCCTGATGCCTCTGGGAGTTAGAACATGCTATTCCCTCTTTCTGGAACACCTTTCTCTCCCTTTTTTCACCTGCCAAACTCCTGATGATTGCTTGAGCTTCAGTAACACCTCCTCCCAGAAGCCTTCCTTCACCTTCCTCCCAGTTGAGTCAGATGCCTCCTTTGCCTTAAGCCTCCAGATGCCTCTGGTTTCACCTTGTCTTATGCCACCCACACCACAGATCTGATATCCCTGTATTGTAAATACCTTCTTAGTGGCTTGTCTCCCCTACAAGGGGAGACAAAATTTTAATGTAAGATTAAATGCTAGCCTAAAGAGGGGATTTCCTGAGTTAGGGGCCTCCCTGGTGGCTCAGGGATTAAAGACAGCACTATCAAGGTATTGCCAGTCACTGTATCACAAGTTCGATCCATGGCTGGCTAGGGAGCAACCCAAATGGCGCAGCAGATCTCTCCTGCCTCACCTCTCAGCAGTGTATTTCAGTAGATCTGCCTGTTCTGCTCCCCACTCTTTCTGGTGAATCTTCTCACCACCCCCCACCCCACACCTCTGGCTTACACCCCAGTTCTTGTATGCACAAAAAAAAAAAAAGGTTTCCTGAGTCCTTGGAAGTTGGCCCAGTTTGTAGAGGCTACTCACTACATGACAGTCACCTGATAAATGTCTGAACATTAGACCAATGGATAGGTGAGCAAACCAGAGACACAGGTAGAAAAAGGGGCATATGGAGAGACTTTGGGTATTGTGGTGGGTAAGCAAATGGGCTTTGGATGGAGGTATAGCTTGACCTGGTCAACTGCAGACACTATTATTATTATTATTATCTGTATAATATTATTATATGACAATATTATCTGACAATATTATTATCTGCAAAATAACTTGATGATGAATAGGCTCACCAATAAGATATGTTGCAGGGTAGAGAACAGCACTTTAGGGGGACCTGTGACTTGCTAATACATGGAAAGGTGACACCTTGAAAGACAGGAGAGACCCAAAGCTCTCATTAAGACTAAGCCAGGGCCTCCCCGGTGGCACAGTGGTTGAGCGCTGGGTTGTGAAGCTGCCCGCAGCCTCTGCAGCGCTGGTTCGATCCCCGGCTGCTCCCGGGCCACTGGAGGAGGGTCCCGCATGGCGCGCAGACCTCTCCTGCTGCCCGCTGCTCCCCTCAGCAGTGTACTTTGATCCTTCTGCCTGCTCTGCTCCCTGCTCTGGCTCTGGTGAATTTTCTCACCCTCCCGCGCTTCTGACTGTACCCAGTGCTTGTATAAATAAATAAATAAATCTTTAAAAAAAAAAAATACTAAGCCAGCTGCTGGCCTGGGGTGGGTTTTTGGGTAGGAGAGTCCCATACAACCTCTCTCCACCCACCGTCCCACCATACTCACCGAGACAGTAGAGCTGGGTGTGTTGGTTCCATAGCCAGATGAAGGGAGTGAAGCGAGAGACCAACGACGTCCATCGGCCCTGGAACCCAGCCAAGGTGCTCAGAGGCCAGCAGATCACTCCCATCCCCCCACTCCTTGAGAGAAGCCACTGGACAGGCAGTGGGGAAATAGCACAGTTCCTGTGCTCTGAGATTTCTTAAGACTTTCAGAGTCTACGGTGTAAGGAGTCCTTCATCCAGGCAACAGAGACCTGGGGTGAAGATCAGTCTCCTCTGATCTATCCCATGATCTCCTGTCCTTTTATCCTTACAGCAAATAAGGCCCCAGAGTAGATCCCAAGAAGAATAACCCAAAGCCTACCCAAGAAGACATTGCAGAAAGAGCCAAGGTCAATCCCTAGAGGACCCACCATGAGAAAGTTCTGAGGGAGACCCCTTGGATCTCCTCAGAAGGAAGCCTTCTCCCTCAAATATACACAGTGACTAAGTCAGTACACTCAATTTCACACAGACACGATCACTCTGATGGCCACACCAACTAATGTGACTACTACAGTCAAGTTCACACACACTGATAGCCACACACATTCACATGTGACTCCTCAATACAGATACTCCCTCAAATTAACTATCCCATACATTATCCCAAATAGCATACTTCCCCACACTAACAATCACACATGCAAAAACAGACACAAACTCACATGACACAGACACTTAGAGTCCCAGTACTGACACTTTGATATAAACACATACTCCTTCACACACATTCTATATTTTCACATTCACACAAACATATTCAACATAGTCATGCACTCAGTCACACATTCAAACTGTCACACAGCCACAGACTCATTCACACTCCCACGCAGATTGCACGCACTCACAAGAGATACATGAGATACGTGCTCCCTCACACATTCACACACATTTACTATCACACACATTTATACATGCACTCAAATGCATACTCCAATGGACACATGTAGGTACAGGTTGTTGCACAAACTCACACATGCGCATCCACATCAGCACAAAGACTGCAAAGTCATATAGACATACAATTCCACACACTGGATTCTTCCCTCCAGGCAATGCCCACCTTCACCCAGTCCAGCCTCCATGCAAGTTACCACATCAGGCCCAATCTGTGGTCTGGTTTCCTCTTGCTCACAGTTGAATTCCAAATCTGAGGGGGCCTTCCCCCCCACCCACAGCCCCTACCACCCCAGCCCCTGCAATTCCCACACCACAACCTTCACCAGCCTTTGCAGTGATCTGGTTTCTCTGGCCTGCCTCTCCAGTTCAACTCCCAACATAGAAATAGTGTTATTCACCCAGTATGTCCAGCTCCCAGACAGAGCAGATATTCAGACGTGGTTTAGAATGAATATAGGTCAAAGAAAATGAGACCCACCCAAACACCCAGACATGACAACTCCCAGAAATTTCTCCAAAAAACATTCGCGGAATCTCTCTACCTTCCCCAATTTCACTAAAGGTCCCAGAAAATTCATTGTGGAACACTCCAGAAACCTGTAAAGACCCCTGGAGGAAAAGCTGAGATTTCTCCAATTGGGCCCTTTAGAAATAGCCCTAGCCGCCCTCCCCCACTTTGGGGACCAAGAGTCCCAGAATGGGCATCGCGCATCTGCGCGCTTGCGCAGCTCGTCTCCGCTCCCCTTCTGTTGCTATGGAAACGCCTGGCCTGGAGATTGAGGTTCTGGAAACTCAGACCCTGGACCCGCGGCGCAAGCGCTTTGGCTCCGCTGCAAAGAAAGCCCCGCCTTTTCCCCCATTCAAGCTTGGCGGTTGACCCCCTCTTCTCATAGGCCCCTCCCCTAAGGCTAGGAGCCTGTTCCCGGTGGGACCTTGGGACTCTCTGCGGGCTCCTCAGACCCTAGCTCAGGTGTAATTAGGAGGGGAACAGACGGCAGCCTAGAGACAAGGGAGGGTCCGGCCAGGGTTCTAGGGCCCTGGGAGAGGGACTCACCTTCGGGAGGAAGCAAATGAGAAGTGGGCGGGAGTGTTAGGGGAGAAGTTTCGGGGGCTGTCCAGGGGACTGCTACCTGTGGTGGAAAGAGGGGGATCTTCAGGCCTGGCATGGAAGACCATCCCATCAGGTCTCCTGATCCCAAACGGGTTGCAAACAGTTCTTTGTCCCCTCTAGTCGGCTCATACCCAGGTATGATTTGGCTACGCCCCTTCGCTGTGGCCCCTCCTCTCCTAAGAGGCTTTGGTAATCGAGTTCGCCTGGCCCTCTTTCAGGCCGATTACTCCTTTTTCTGAGGTGGCTCCGTCCCCAGGCATGGCTCCACCTATCCACCTCATCCCCTTTTCAATCTATTGATAGATCCGCCTGGCCCTCCGCCCCCCAATGCCCTGCCCTCTCTGACAGACCACGCCCACACAAAGATGGTCCAGCATCTTGTCCAGCCTGGTTCCACGTCTACCCAGATTCCGCCCGGCTCCTACAGCATGGTCCCGCCCCTCGCCTGTGGAACCGCCTTCCCCAGAATGGCCCACACCTACCACCTTTCTCACCCAGGTGTCCTGGCAGTGGAGAATGAGGTCGTGGCAACGTTGGTGAAGTGCTGCTTGTCAGGATGAGGCTTTTCCGGTTACTGGTGCGGCAACTGCGGGGAATACAAGGCAAGGGGACCTAGTCGGCCGCCACCTAGTGAGTTTATGAGCCCAACCAGCTGCCCTCCCATCTCAGATCACGACCTATCTCCCAAGCGTGTGCGTGAAGATGCCTTAGGAGGACTGTTCGGCAGGAGTCAATGATGGCTTCAGCAGGATTGTGGATGGGAGGGGATGCACATGTGACATGTGTGTGACACTGCTGGTGCAGATCATGTGTGACCATGTGGGACCAGTGTCAGTCATGGAGTGATAATCATGTTGTCTATGTGACACCACTGGAAATGGTGTCTGCGTGTCTTTGGATCTGTATGTGACATTCTGTGTGTATGTCCCCATGTGGCACCCAGTGTGGGAATTCTGCGCTGGGCACATCCTCATGGAGCATCATGAGTGACAAAACCTGTGCCTCTGTGTGTGTGTGACACTGTGTAACTCATGTGTCTGTGACAAGATGTGTCAGGGTGTGCTGTAACATGTGCATGATGAGTGGTCTCTGCTACATGTGCCTATGCCCCTGGCATTTTGAGCCAGTGTGCGATACTGTGGATGTGGATATATGACTCCCAACATGAATGTCCATGTGTGGTGTCTACTGTGTGAGTTTCACAGCCAGCAACACTGGGTATGTCTGAGCATGCCCCATGCATTGCAGTCCCTGCATGAATCTTGGCTTCTTAACATATGATAGTGTGTGTTTCTTCATCTCTGCAAGATTCCTTGTGTCTGTATATTCTAGCATCTGTGTGACACAGCATGTAACATACTTAGGTTATATCATGTACTGTGACATTATTGGTGTATGTATATTATTGCCACACATGTGTCTGTGTCTCTTAGAAGGCATAATTGTGTGTTGATTCCCATGCATGTGGTGTAACTAGGTGTACACATACTGGGTGTACATAATATAGTGCCTATGGGCTTACTTGTCTGTGTGTCACTTGGGGGGGATGCCCCTGTGTTTCTGTTAGCTCTGACCTATGGACACTGTACTAGTGGGTATGTGTGTGGCGCCTTGAGCGTGTATCTGAGCCACTAGGGCTGTTGTCTGTATGTGTGTGACATCATGTCCTGTTTGACTCTCTGTGTCACTATTTTCCATATGAGGCTATGTTCTTGGGGGAGGGAGTTTGTGCTATGATAAGCTCCCCCCCACCCCCTTTCTGTCTGTCCGTATGCCAGCTTGCTTGCAAGTCCCCAGCCTCACCATTCCCTTCACGCCCGGCCGCAGTGACTGAGCATATTAGAGCGGACAGAAACACGCGGCAAGGGGGAGGGGGGGCCAGTCTGTGGCTATTGTTCCGATGCCCCTCCACCTTCCCCTTCTTTCCCTACCCCCATTGGGTTACCAAAGCCCAAAGCGCGAGCAGACAAAGGCTCCGCAACCCCCCACCCAGCCAGACCACCTCCCCCCGCGGTGGTCCTTCCCGGCGTGCAGTCCCCCAAGTCTCGCCCCACACTGTCCCCATTCAGTCCCATCCCTGGCGGGAAGGCTCAGCGCAGGCACCTCTGGAGCAGCTGGACTGGGTGCAGCAACCCGGGCCCCGCCCTGCGGCAGCGGCCAGAGGGATGGCTTTGCGGGGAGGGCCTGGTCAAGGTCGAAGGGATGGGGAGGGGGGGTCGTCTACCTCTTGGTGCGGCGGAACATACTGCCGCCAGGGAAGAAGGGCATCGAGAAATTGGAAAGCGCGGTCCAGAGAGAGTCAGACATGACCCAGCGGCGGCGACATGGTGGCAGGTGCGGCAGCAGCGGCGGCGCGGGGAGCGAGCGCGCGGGGCGGAGGCTTGAGCCGCAGCGGGCAGGGGAGGGCGGGGGAGGGGAGGGCCCTTCGGTTGCCGCCCGCCGGGAGGGGGCGCTGCCGTACCCTCAGCGCACCAAGCCCTGCCTATGCTCGCCCCTGGCGCCCCCACCCGGGCCTGAGAAGGGGCGTTCAGCCCAGCTTCTCTCTCCCCAAGGCTCACCTGCTACTTTTCCGGGGCAGGGGCAAATCCTTCTGGAAGGCAAAGGGGCAAAAGGATAGAGGTCAGCGTGCACCAGCAGCCACTGCTCACAAGCCCTCTCAGGCCCTGGAGGAGCAGAAGTGGGGTGAGACAGCCCCTCATCAGCATCATTCCCTGCACCCTTGCGATGCATTAGGGGCAGGGTTCCTTGGGGAAGAGTAGCAGAGTCAGTCCCTCTTCCTACCCCCAGAGACTAGCACAGGGTCCTGAATTGTCATCTCAGTGTGTGCACCAATGAAACAGGAACCTGTTAGAAAAATACTTTGAGGGGCCTCTCTGTTTTGCTCCCCACTCTGTCTCTGATGAATCCTCTCACCCCCCACACTCTAGCCTACACCCCAAATCTTCTATACCAAAATAAATAAATAAATAAATCTTTTAAAAAAGAAAAGAGGAAGAAAAATACTTTGAGCACCTATTGTTTTCCAGGCCCTGAGTTAGGCACTGGAGACAAGCAGTGTTGAGACAAAAATTCCTGGGACTCTATAGAGGAGGGGAGCAAAACAAAAACAAAAACAAAAAAACCTAATATTCTAGAAGTGAACATAATAGTGTTCACTAAGGTGGGGGGGCTTCAGAAGTGAACATAATAATTTTAGATTATAATAAATTATGAATAAAATTAAGCAAGGTGATATAAAGTGGTGGGGGGAGATAGCTAAGACGGGAACAATGGTCAGAGAGGACTATTCTGAAGAAGTGACTTTTAAGATGATTGTTTAAAAGTAAGAACCAAAATTAAGAACCAGTCGTGGGAGGATCTCTGGAGAGAGCATTCCTGATAGAGAAAGAACTACACATATCTAGAGGCATGAATGAACTTGGCATGCTCAAGCATGAATGGTTGAATAAATGAATGAATGAATGAATGACTTCTCCATTAGTCCCAACCCCAGATGATTCACAGAGGCGAGGGTTACTTAAGGTGACTCAAAAGTGAATTTGAGGGGCCTCCTTGGTGGCACAAGGGGTTAAGATGCAACCTGTGAAGCTATCCGCAGCCACTGCAGCACGAGTTCAATCCCCCGCCAGGGAGCTACCCACATGGCGCATGAGACCTCTCCTGACTTGCCCACTGCTCCCCTCAGCAGTGTATTTCAGTCAGTCTCCTTGTTCTGTTCCCCACTCTGTCTCTGGTAAATCCTCTCACCGCCCCCACACCTCTGGCCTGTACCCCAGTTCTTGTCTGAATAAATAAATAAATCTTTTTTTAAAAGTGAATTTGAAATAAGAATCAGGTGGTAACTAGTGGTCTTTTTCAATAATGGCAATAATAATTATAATTGGTAGCTGTTAAATGTATGTGTCCACATCAGAAGAAGGTTGTGTTCTGTTTATAAAGCAGTTGTGAAGTCACTACAGGGATCAGAAACTGTGGAGGGGAGTTCTGTGTCCATGTTCATAGAGAAATATTTGAAGCTAGACTGAAGTTAATGACGGGATTGGGTAGGGCTGCAAACAGAAAGATTCTGGCAAGAGTTTCTAAATCCCTGGGGACTGCAACCAGGGGGATGTTCTAGATTCTTTTCAGGACCTCTGGGTTCAAATCCTTTACCTGTCATGACCTTGGTAAATGACCTTTCAAGTCCATTCCTCTTAGAGAATTCAATGAATTGATACAGGTGTCTACCACCTTAGCATGGTGTCTATCACATAGTAAGCACTCATAAATACTGGGTCATAGAAACAGAAGTTACTATGAATGGACCTGCCGCATGACAGAGGATGGACCAGAGGCACTTCCCATTCCCACATACAGAGGACAGATTGGGGGTCAAAGGACACACTGTCACAAATGGGCAGCTGTACCATACCAAGTCACTTGTGACTGGAAATTCACACAAGGTTCTCATACTGTCTTTGCAGGATCATCTTGAATGTGCCAAAACTTGGACCAGCAGACCAACCTGGGCTACTGCAATTGCCCAAGTGAAATCAAAACCTGGATTTCCCAGGCACGGATCCCAGTACTTCAGACCGACCAGTGTACAATGGGCCTTGGAGGGTGAACCCCTGGGAAACTTTTAAGCATCACTCAGAGAAATATTTGAACCTAGTCTCATCCGCTAGCGTCTCTTAACATACCAGAGTCGAATAAAGAGGCACACTAGAGCCAGAGAGGTTTTGGATTTGGCATCAGTGAGGGCAGACACCACTTCCACCTCCAGCTACAGAGCGGCTCAGCCCAGTGGATTCTGTTTCTCCCCGGAATTAAAGGATAGAGCTGCGAACAGGGCAATAGAACTTAGGAAACTGTACATATACATGATCCCAATTGTCCACGGGGGACTTCGGGTGCTCCGCGGTTGTGGGCCAATTCTTAAAGGATTGCCCAAGTGTGTGATGGTGTGTCCACGCAGCGAAGTGGTTAACACTTCCAGAAGGAAAGGGGAAGGGGCAGAAGTCGAGCAGGAGACCCGGAGGTCGCCTGGGGAAGAACGACGGGTGAGTAGGCGGATCCCAGGCTGCAGGTAGGGCTTGCGTGCCTGACTGAAGTCCCGCAGGTCTCTGAGCCAATGGGAGTCGGCGCCGGCCAGGAGGGCGGGGAAACACCCCAAGAAGGCCCCGCCTTTTCCTGGGGACCCGACGGCGCGAACAGGATTCTGGCTGCTTCAGCAATTCCTACCTTTGCAGAGCTCCCTCCCTTTTCTCAGAACTCTTTTCCTAACCCTACGCTAGAATGGGGAGCAAATCCAAAGAAGACCTAAAGAGGCCAAGTCTCTGAGATGTGGTCGTCTGGGCTCTGTTTGAAAGCAAATTAGTTTTCCAACCCATGTTTGGTTCCAGCATCATGCAGACGCCTGAAAAGTCCTTCCTGGCTTTGATTCTGATTTTTTTTTCCTGCTGCACTGACCTATCGGCTTATCTTGGTCTCCAATATCAGGGATGGTGGATTAGAGCAGTTCAGAAATGGAGGGGCCCAGGGTGAGGGCTTGAAGCCTCCTCTTCTTTTCCCTTGCTCCAGACTAGTGATGTAACCTGAGTCTCGGTCCACATTTGGCTTACTTCGAGCACCTCAGGGCTTCAAGGAGGCTCAGTAGGACCAGACCAATGACACACCTTGGTGTGAAACTTTGATCAGTTTTCCCTCTGGGGTCAGTATGGGGGCTGGCACTCAACCCCGGAATCCCCGTATTAACCCTCAGAAACCAGACAGGAGACGAGGTCCTTCTTGGCTTCAGAATCCCCCCCCCCCCGCTGACGCCTGCCTTTGTCCCACCTTCCCCACACACCACAACAGTCCTCAGCGTCCCACTCCGAGCAGTGGACCCGCGCCTTCGGCGCCTGCGCAGCCTGGAGACCAGTATCTTTTAAGGCTGCAAGGAACTAAAAATCGCTCCCGCCCACCCACAAGCTGGGCTGGACTTGAGGACGGCGCTGGGAGGGGAGGAACTGTAGTGGAAGTGGGGGGTGGGATGGAGAGGGAGGCGGTAGTCCAGGTGCCTGTCCAATTAGGACAGTAGGAAGAATCCTGATGGTCCGGCAGCTGCATGGAGGTCGCAGGGGTTCTGAGGCTTCAAATGGGGGCTAATGGGGTGGTGAGGGGCGATGCTGCCGCACAAACATGTTTACGGCTGCGGCGCCGATGGCCCCGAGGGGCAAGAGCCCTGGGGCAACAACTTTGCTCCGCGGCCCCTCACCCCTGAGCCTGGCCGGGCGCCCGAACGATGACTTCGCCCTCCAGCCGCCCCCCGCACCCCTCACTCTAGTGGGCCGGGCCCCCCTCAGGCTACCCGCGAGGGGTGGTGCTAGGCGGCACCCCTTCACCAGCAGCCTGGATCCCCGGCGCCGGAGGGGCGGGTCCCCAGCGCAGCCAGACGCGCGGCCGCCGCCTTCCCCGTGGGTAGCGCCGGGGCCAGGGGAGGGGGCGCCCGGGAGGACCCCGGCTCGAGTTCTCCCGCCCTGCCGGGCCCCGCCTCGGGGCGCCGACCCCTTCCCCTTCCCCCCGGGCAAGACCGCCACATACCTGCAGCCTCCGGCGGCGGATCAGGCCCGAATCGTCCATGGCGGCGGCGGAGGCTTCGGCCCCGGGGAGGGCGGAGGGAGGCGGCGGGAGGGCGGGCGGAGGGAGGCGGGAGAAGCCGCTGGGACCGCGGCGGCGGCGGCGACTTGGGGGCGGGGGGGGCGGGGCGGATCGAGGTGGGGCGAGCCCGGCGCCGTCACTGCGTCTGGGAGCCTCAGCCCGGATCCGCCTAGGCTGCCCGCTCCGGCGGAGCAGGGGGAAAGGGCAAGCGATGGCGGGGGGCGGGGGGCCGGAGGCCGGGGTGGGGGGAGGAGCCAGCCGCCGAGACCGCGGGGAGGAAGGGAGCCCCACGGGCACGGGCCCCCCAGCCCAGACACGCCAGGGAGACGCTCTCGTCGACACACGTTCCCTCTGAGGACAAACCTGGTCCCCCTCCAGGGAGACACCCCATGGGGAGAGAGTCCTCTCCAGTCGGGGACTCTCCCCTCACTCTGAAAGTCATTCCTAAGACAGACGGTTTCCGAGGTTAACACTTCCTCAGAAGTCCCCCCTCTCCCTTAGGGAGTGACATTTCTGCAGAGAAATAGCCCCACAGGTCACATTTTCCATGGGGTGCCTGGTGAGGATACCCCCAATGAAAGACCCCATAAAAGCCACATTCTCTGTGGGAAATCCTCCCCAAGACCCCCACACTCCAAGAAATACATTCCTATGGAGTGACGTTCTCAGTAAGGTGACCCAGTAAGTCAGTAAGGTCACAGGAGATGACCCCTTAAAGGAAAATTTACATGCAGACTGTCCCCCTTCCAAGGCAAAGTCTCCTCAGGGACTCCTGCAGCCCCTCCAGAGACCCTCTCTCTCACATTATCAGGATTAAGGGGCCAGTCAGGCTGGGATGTATTTTTAGGAGCGATGGTGGGGGTGAGGGGGGTTGGGGGGTGACTGAAACAATTTTCACCACCCTCTGCAGTGTTCCTACAATTGAGGCCAAACTGATGGATTGTGCTTTCCAGAGTGGGAATAGAAAACACTCCTAGGCATAGAGGGGCAGGGTGGGAAGGGGACTTCCCAAGTGTCCCTGCCCATAATTGGCCCAAAAACCTGGAGGGTGCGGTCATTGGGTTGGAGCGACCCCTGCCGGCCAACAGGGGCGACAGAGCGGTCTGGCGTCTAGTGTTCCCTGGGCGTTTGTCTTCTCTTCTCTGTGCTTTTGCCTGAGTTATCTCTGTTTGTTTCGCTCCGTCTGTGTTGGTTTGCAAGTTTGTATTGCTATCTCGCTGAGTCTGTTCCTCAAAGTTCTCTGTCCAAGGCACTAGTTCCCTCTTCTCAAGTCGGCAGCCTTGGGAACTCTCCTTGGTGCTGATCTTGTGCACTACTGTCCGCGGTACTGAAATCTGAAAGCCCGTGGGAGAGCTGAGGTCAGAGGAGAGAAGCCCAAGTTTTCCGGGAAACACAATGTATGCTGGACAGATCTGACTCACAAGTATCTTGGACTACCCCAAGATGGATCAGTCCACTAGGTTTTGGTTGCTGAAGCCTCCAGGATATTAGTGAGTGCCCATAGAGGGGCATTTATTCATTCATTTACTCAATATGTAAACGAACACCTGGTGTGTACAAAATATTATTTCAGTATCTTTTTTTTTTTTTGTGGGACCCTCGCCGGCAGCCGGGGAACGAACTGGCACTGCAGAGGCTGCGGGCAGCCTCGCAGCCCAGCGCTCAACCACTGCGCCGCCAGGGGAGACCCCCTTATTTCGGTATCTTCAAACTGGCAGCGAAAGAAACAGACAAAAGCTCTGCACTAGCCTGAGCTGGGAGGGAGAGAATTTGTGGTTGTGGTCATTACTCACAAAAACTCATTTGCACACTCCAGAAGCACAGGCACAGACACTGCAAACATGCTCACAAACATGAATATACCAACATAAACACACTTTCAATAAACACAGCCTCACACACATATTCATGAACACACACTCCACAAAAGCAAATATGCACATACATACTCAAAAAACTCACATATAAACACATCTACACTCTTGCAAATTTGTACTCAGCAAACAGACACACCTAAATATATACCTATAAACTCACGGCGAAAACATGTATATGTAGAAAACACAGATATGCACACACTCATCAAGTATAGATACCCAAAAATAACATATACAAACACTCGACAGTTACAACACATATATAGTCCCAGAACCAAGGGAAGCTCAGCTACACACAAACTCTTATCCAACAGACACATTATCCTCCCAACATAACATGGGGACACACACACACACAAACCTACTGCAGAGCTTTTAAAAATATATTTATATATATTATTTATTTATGCATACAAGAGCTGGGGTGTAGGCCAAAGGTGTGGGGGTAAGAGAATTCACTAGAGACAGAGTGGGGAACAGAATAGGCATATGTACTGAAATACACTGCTGAGGGAAGCAGTGGGCAAGACAGGAGAGGTCTGCTGCGCCCTGTTGTTTATCTCCTAGGCTGGGGATTGAATTCATGTTGCAGTGGTGGCTGGCGATAGCTTGATAGCACTGTGTCTTTAACCCCTGCACCACCAGGGAAGTCCCAAGGGCTGAGATTTCATGTTTTGTTCACTACTGCATCCCCAGAACCTGGCACAGAGTAGGTGCTCAATAAATGTTTGTGAATGAATGATGTGTGTCACAAGGGACACACATTCATGGAAACTGGGGAGGAACACATAAACACAGGTTTTTTTTTTTTCATCTTTTTTTTTTTTTTAGAGGCATGTTTTTTATTTATTTTAGAGGCATGTTATTTATTTGTTTGTTTGTTTTGTTTTGTTTATACATGCACTGGGTACAGTCAGAAGTGCGGGAGGGTGAGAGAATTCACCAGAGCCAGAGCGGGGAGCAGAGCAGGCAGAAGGACAGAAGTACACTGCTGAGGGGAGCAGCGGGCAGCAGGAGAGGTCTGCGCGCCATGCGGGACCCTCCTCCGGTGGCCGGGGAGCAGCTGGGGATCGAACCGGAGCCACAGTGGCCGCGGGCAGCTTCGCAACCCAGCGCTCAACCGCTGCGCCACCGGGGAGGCCTTAAACACAGGTTTTAGATGCAGACACACACATTACACTACCATCTTGTTGACTCCTGGTCAATATACATGGTTAACAACCATTGCCCACTTATTTATCCACAACATTTTTACAGGGCATCTATCCTACATTATCACACCTACATTTATGATCTGAGTCTTACTCACCTGGATACATTTGGCTTGAACACATACCAGCCTCCTTCCCCAGCTTCTGAACACGTACACAAAACCACCCAACTGAGAGACACATAAACATACCCTCACACAATGAACACACATATGTGCTCAACACACACACATCCTCATCTGATGCACACATGCCCTGCATATGTAGATACAGAGAGTAAGTCACAAGATGAACACACAAGCAAACACAAGGATATATACATACAAGCCCCAGGTCCACTAATCTTTGGTGAGCTGAAGGGGGAAGTGGGTGGGGGGTGGTGGAAAACTCTTCCCTTGCAACAAGCCACAGCCCTTTCAGGTGCCACTGTCTCCTGGACTTGATCCTGATATGTCAGCAGCACCCTAGACTCCAATCCAGCCAACAGGTGAGGGCAGCCAGGGGGGAAGAAGGGAATTACTTTATTTCCACAGACCCCTCAGCTTCCCCTGCCTTGGTTTTTGGAACCCAGCAGCAGAACCCAGGTCCTGCCACAGCAAAGTCTGACTCCAGAGGCCTAGCCCTGGGTGGCAGTCCCTAAGCCGATTGTGTGCCAAGAGAAGGTAACCATGAGCTGGGATCAAGAGGGAGGGAGAAGACTCGGCAGAAGTGAGGGAGGAATTATTGGATGGAAGAGGGAGACAGGAAGAACTAGGGAGGTTCCTTGGTTCTGAGAAAGTAGAACGTGGGCCTCCCTGGTGGTGCAAGGGGTTAAACATAGGAAGCTATCCATAGCCACTGTAGCAAAAGTTTGATCAACGGCCAGGGAGCTACCCACATAGCGCAGCAGACCTCTCCTGTCTTTCCCGCTGCTCCCCTCAGCAGTGTATTTCAGTCAGTCTGCCTGTTCTGCTCCCCACTCTCTCTGGTGAATCCTCTCATCCCCCACACCTCTGGCCTGTACCCCAGTTCTTGCATGAATAAATAAATAAAATCTTTTTTTAAAAAATGAAAGTAGAAGTTGCCTGAGGGCTGAAAGCATGGAAGATCCTGATGGTAAGAGAAGCACCATAGACAAACTGGGGGACGAGGGATTGGTACTTGGTCCTGAAGGGATGGAGGAGACATGAGTCTGATGGTAGGGAGGGGCTCATAGGTCAGAGGCAGACCTTGGTTACCTCCAGGGATTTGAAAATCTTTGGCCATTGCCTCCTCACCAGCTGCCCATTCTTTGTTCTGCCTGGCACTGGGTGTCTCCTTGGTGATAGGACGATACTTTACACTCCCAGAAAGGAACAGCTGAACTCTACCCCATACCCCAGCTGACTCTTATCTCAGGTGGACATAGCCTTTTGGGGCCACACTCGACCCGTGGGCCTGGTCTGAGCTCTGCATCTGACCCAGGCATAGATCCTCGTGGGGGCCTGTGGAGGGAGCCACCCACTAACAACTGAGTCCCAAGGACACCATAGGCTGGTGGCTGATAGGGCATAGACCAGCTGCACTGAGCAGGTGAGCAGACTAGACCCTGCCTGATCCCCAACAGCTAGGATCTCTCACTCCATAATAGCAATACAGGAATTTCCTTATAAGGGGGGCTTAGTGTAGCCATAGGTGAGGGGTGGCGGCCAGGGCTCATGCTGAAGAATAGTGGTTCAAGAGCAGACTCTGGAGTCAGACTGCCTGAGTTCAAATTCCAACTCTGCTACTTTGCAGCAGTGTAACCCTGAATGAATAACTTAACCTCTCTGGGCTTCATGTAGGTTATTAAAAGGGGGAAGGTGTCCTTGGTGGCACAATGGTTGAAGACAGCGCTATCAAGCTATTGACAGCCACTGCAGCGCGAGTTTGAGCCCTAGCCAGGGAGCAACCCACATGATGCAGCAGATCTCTCCTGTCTTACCCGCTAATCCCCTCGGCAGTGTATTTCAGTAGATCTGCCTGTTCTGCTCCCCAATCTGTCTCTGGTGAATCCTCTCACCTTCCCACACATACCTCTGGACTGTACCCCAGTTCTTGTATGCATAAATAAATCTTTAAAAAAAAAAAGTTAAAAAAAGGAAGGGGAGGAGGACCTCCCCTGGTGGCTCAAGCAGTTGAGCACTGTGAAGCTGTCCACAGTCTCTGCAGCGCTGGTTGATCCCGGCCGGCTGGCGAGGATCCCACATGGTGTGGCAGACCTCTCCTGTTGCGCCTGCTGCTCCCCTCAGCAGTATATTTCGTCAGTCTGCCTGTTCCGTTCCCCGCTCTGTCTCTGGTGAATCCTCTCACCCTCCCGCGCATCTGGCCTGTACCCCAGTTCTTGTATAAATAAATAAATCTTTTAAAAAAAAAGGGGGGGGAGGGGGAAATAATAGCCTACATCATAGGAGTGTTGTAAAGGAGTGTATGTAACATGACTGTGATAAATGATTATTATACAAAGCTACATTTGCTTCCCAAACAAAATGTCTTTAAGTTTTATATTAGGGAGATTTGATATAATTGAGGTCTCCCCTGTTCAGGAACAACCCCCCCACCCCCTCCAAGCCTTGGTTCCCCTACCCTACCTCAATTCACAGGCATCCCCTTTCACATATTGTTCTTCCGTGCCTCAGAGAAAGACATACCAGAAGAATCAAGCCCTGGGTTCCTCCCAAAGCACTGTCAGCCAGCAAACCCTGGGTGAGAGCTACGACCCCAGCATTTCCTTAGTTTTTATGTTCCAATTGCCAGGCCTGCAGCCAGATGCCCTGTGCATCCTGACCCATCCATGCTTATCTCTCCCAATGTCCAGGTGTGACTCCTTCCTGGGCAGCCTCCAAGTTACCCTCCATACTCACTTCCTCCTGCTACTTTTGGGAATATGCCAGACTTAGCCATTGTGTGTGGAGCTCTGTGACACCTGGTAAGAGAAGAGAAGTGTGAGGGGTGTGGTCTATGGTTTGGTGGGGTCCAAGACTGAATCTGCTTCCTCTTCCTTGAGTTTGAGGGGGTGCGGCCTGCCTCCAATATGGCCAAAGTCTGAAGGATGAGGCCTAGTGTTTAGAGTTAGGCAGAAAGGGGTGAGGCTTTTAAGATTAGCTATACTGGGACATAGTCTTCCTTAGACCTGGATTTTTAAGGAGCTTTGAAAAGAGAAGCTGAAAGGGTGGGAAATATAAGGGGCTGGCTTGGAAAGAGATGGTCTGAGGTCAGCAGAGATGAAATCAGTTGTGACAGGGCCTGGGTTTTGGTGAAGAATATGTGATCTGCGGCCTCCATGGTGGTGCAAGGGTTAAAGACAGCGCTATCGGGCCTCCCCGGTGGCGCAGCGGTTGAGCTATCGGGCCTCCCCGGTGGCGCAGCGGTTGAGCGCTGGGTTGCGAAGCTGCCCGCGGCCTCTGCGGCGCCGGTTCGATCCCCGGCTGCTCCCCGGCCACCAGAGGAGGGTCCCACATGGCGCGCAGACCTCTCCTGCCGCCCGCTGCTCCCCTCAGCAGTGTACTTCCATCCTTCTGCCTGCTCTGCTCCCCGCTCTGGCTCTGGTGAATTCTCTCACCCTCCTGCGCTTCTGACTGTACCCAGTGCATGTATAAACAAAACAAACAAACAAACAAACAAAATAAATAAATAAAACATGCCTCTATAAAAAAAAAAAAATAAAAAGATTTAAAAAAAAAAAAGACAGCGCTATCAAGCTATCTCCAGCCACTGCAGCACCAGTTTGAACAATCCACATGGCGCAGCTCCCACTGCTCCCCTCAGCAGTGTATTTCAGTAGATCTGCCTGTTCTGTTCCCTACTCTCTCTGGTGAATCCTTTCACGCTCCCCTGCCCCCGTACTTCCAGTTCACACCTCAGTTATTGTATGCATAAATAAATCTTTCAAAAACACTAGAATATGGGCCTCCCTGGTGGCGCAAGGGGTTAAGACGAAACCTATGAAACTATCTGCAGCCACTGTCACACGAGTTTGATCCCCAGCCAGGGAGGTACCCACATGGCGCAGCAGACCTCTCCTGACTCGCCTGCTGCTCCCTTCAGCAGTGTATTTCAGTCAATCTCTTTGTTCTGTTCCCCACTCTGTCTCTGGTGAATCCTCTCACCCCCCCACACCTCTGGCCTGTACCCCAGTTCTTGTATACATAAATATTCTTTAAAACAAAAAACAATAGAATATGTGATCTACCAACAGCATGTGGGGTATGTGGCCTCAAGAGGCGAGGTCTTAAAGGGGTGGGTCATACAAGCGCCAGAGCTTCCAGAGTAGTAATCCCAGTAAAAAAAAAACCGCTCAAGTGGAGATCTTACCCCTGCTACTCCTCTCCAAGTATGATTCCCAGATTTGCTTCTTGCGAAACCGGTATCACCTGTAGTCCGACTTGGCTCCCAATCTTAGAAAAGAGTTCTGCAGCCCTGGCTGCACTATCTACAGGCAGGTGAGCATGGAACAGAGGATGTGGGAATGAGACTGAGACCTCACATTACTATGTCTCATTTTTACCAGCCTAGGGTCCAGAGTCCAGCCTAGCACTCCTAAGGTCCCGGTTCCCTTTCTTCCCCTTTCTGCAAAGGAATAAGCCTCTATAGAAGAACTCTATAGTGGAACAAGCCTCCCTAGGGCCCACTGAGTCCATATCTGCTCTCCTCAAGGGACCATCTCTACTCTAGGCCCATAGTTTCCCTGGAAAACCCAGAAGCCCAAGTCATTTTATCCCACACCTCAAGCCTTCTCCTGGGGTCCAGCTATCACTCAGTAACATATATGCGGAACGTTTTTGTACCCCCACCTCTTCTTTCTGGGGAAATACAATGAAAAAAAAAGACATTGGTACTGTAAAAAAAACAAAAGAACCCCTAGTCCTGCCCCAGGACCCTGCCTCCACTATGGTCCCGCCCCCGACTCCCAGGAGGATCTGCAGCAGGAATTGCCCACTCCAAAACCACTCTCCCCCTCCCCCCTGGCCCTACCGGCCAAGGAAATCTGGGATTTTCCCTCACCCAGGTCTGGCAGAGAAATGCCCTCTGTCAGCCCCCAGATAGCCACACCACCAGCATATGGGCTCTGCCCATTCGAATCCTAACTCTACACCTTCTCCCAGATTTTCGCTAATGGAATCGACCTTTGCCGCTCAGTACTAGGCTCTGTCCTGCCAATGGCACCTCCTGGCTCTCAGCACTGTCTCAATTTCTCCATCTCGATGATGCCATATCCCAGATTCGGACGGGGAACACAGGAAACCACTTCCCCCCCTTCCCAGGGTGTTGGGGCCTGGATCCTGGAAGCTCTGGGCAGCGGGAGTGGCAGAGGAAGCGGCAGCGGCCTCTAGAGGGCGCCTGGCCTTGGAAGGGAGACATAGCTCCGTGCACCCGACCTCTCAGACACCCAGATCTCCACCTCTTTCCTTCTCTAGTTTCCAAAATGCTGTCCCTGTTCCCTGGGATCCAGGCGACTCTCCTCTCCACAGGTTATCAGAGAAATAACCCAGATCTCATTCATTTTCTTCCTTCCTTCCTGAATAAAATTGTCATCTAGCACATGTGGCTGCTTCTTGGGGGAAAAGTGGAAAGAATAATTTCCAGGAATTATAGGTATCTTACTTCTAATCCTAGGGTCCTAGAATTAGCAACTGATTCACACTGGATTGTCTACATCCTGGAACATTTGTCATAACTTGGAATAAACAGGTGTCAGAAAAAGTAGGGGTACGGGCAGAAGAAGGACTACAAAGGCCAGAGCTATGCACTCCTACTGTGTGCTACCAGGCGTGCCAAGAAGCTCCATGATGTGTACAGACTTTAAGATACCCATTATGGGGCCTTCCTGGTGGCCTCGGGGTAAAGTCTCAGCGCTATCACCTGAATTAGATCCAGAGCCAGGGAGCTAACCCACATTTGGCACAGCAGACTTCTCCTGTCTTGCCTGCTGCTCCCCTCAGAAGTGGAATTCAGTAGATCCACCTGTTCTGCTCCCCACTCTGTCTCTGGTGAATCCTCTCCCCACTACCACCTCTTGGTCTACACCCCAGTTCATCTATGCAAAAATAATTTTTTTTAAAAAAGGGCCTCCCTGGTGGTGCAAGGTGTTAAGTCTCAGCACTATCAAGCTATCAGCAGCCACTGTACCATGAGTTCAATCTCCAGCCAGGGAACTGACCCACGTGGTGCAGCAGACCTCTCCTGTCTCGCCCACTGCTCTCCTCAGCAGTGTACTTTGGCCAACCTGCCTGTTCTGTTCCCCACTCTGTCTCTGGTGAATCCTCTTACCCCCCACATCTCTGGCCTATACCCCAGTTCTTATATGCATGCATAAATAAATAAATCTTTGAAAAAAAAGGCATCCATTATGGCTTTCCCCTCTAATTAAGCAGGCCCAATGGTGTCTGTGTTATTGACCCTTTTTTTTTAAAGATTTATTTATTTATGCATACAAGAACTGGGGTACAGGCCAGAGGTGTGGGGGGGTGAGAGGATTCACCAGAGACAGAATGGGGAACAGAACAGGCGGATAGACTGAAATACACTGCTGAGGGGAGCAGCGGGTGAGACAGGAGAGGTCTGCTGAGCCATGTGGGTCAGCCAGGGATTGAATTTGTGCTGCAGTGGCTGCTGATATCTTGATAGCACTGTATCTTTAACTCCTGAGCCACCAGGAAGGCCCAATGTCCCTTTCTTTCCTTCCTCCCCTTCTCCCAAATCCCTATCTAGATCTAAAACAAAGGATTGGACTCAGATTCAAGATTTGGGTTGTGACTGCTCCTAACCCTCATCTACAGGCTTTTAAAGGGCCTCCATTTCCTTACCCATGACATAGAATTCCCCTTAGTTCTGTTCAAAATAGAGCGAGATACAGGTCTCCCTGGCGGTGCAAGGGCTTAAGACATAGTAATATGAAGCCAATGTAGCCACTGCAGCACGAGTTTGATTCCTGGCCAGGGAAGTGACCCACATGGTGCAGTAGACCTCTTCTGTCTCGCCCGCTGCTCCTCTCAGCAGTGTATTTCAGTCAGTCTGCCTGTTCTGTTCCCCTCTCTATCTCTGGTGAATCCTCTCAGTCCCCACACCTCTGGCTTGTACCCCAGTTCTTGTATGCATAAATAAATCTTAAAAAAACAAAAAGCAAAAAACTATTTATTTTTTAAAGATTTACTAATTTATGCATATAAGAGCTGGGGTACAGGCCAGAGATGCACGGGTGAGAGGAGTCACCAGAGACAGAGTGGGGAACAGAACAGGAAGACTGACTGAAATACACTGCTGAGGGGAGCAGTGGGCAAGACCGGAGAGGTCTGAAGTACCATGTGGTTGCTCCTTAGCTGGCTAGGGTTCTTACTCATGCTGCAGATGCTGTGGACTGCTTCATAGTGTGGTGCTTAGCCCCTTGCACTACCAGGGAGGCCCAGAAAGAAAATATTTAAAAAAAATAGAGAGTAAGATTGAAGGATGCCTCCAAGATGTGCTGAGAGAGATTAGGCACATTTTCTGCCCATAGGGAAGATGGAACAGCAGAAGAGAAGTCGCAGACAGGGAGAGTAGCAAACAGGCCTCTTTCGGCTACAAGTGACAAACTCAGTTTAAAATTCCTTTAGGGGCCTGCCTGGTGGTGCAAGGGGTTAAGCCCAGCATTGTGAAGCTATTCATAACCTCTGTAACAGTAGTTCAGTTCGATCCCTGGCCAGCAGGGGAGCTACCCTCATGTCGCAGCAGACCACTCCTGTCTCACCCACTGCTCCCCTTAGCAGTGTATTTCAGTCAGTCTGCCTTTTCTGTTCCTCACTCTCTCTGGTGAATCCTCTCACCCACCCCCCTGCACCTCTGGCCTGTACCCCTGTTCTTATTTGCATAAATAAATAAGTCTTCAAAAAAAAAACTCCTTTAGTCAAGGTCTCCCTGGTGTTCCAGGGGTTAAGTCTTAGCGCTACACACTGCGATGGCCTGAGTTCAATCCCCAGCCAGGGAGCTAACCCACATGGCGCAGCAGACCTCTCCTGCCTCACCTGCTGCTCCCTCAACAGTGTATTTCAGTAAATCCACTTGCTCTGCTCTCCACTCTGTCTCTGGTGAATCCTCTCACCCACCCCCTCATCTCTGGCCTATACTCCAGTTCTTGTATGCTTAAATAAAAATAAATCTTGGGGAAAAAAAAATCATTATTTGCTATCATGGTCCTAGGATTTTCCTGGGCTCAGCTAGGCATTTTTTGCTTAAGAATTCATGCAACTTCAGATGGTGACTAGTGCTGGAGTCACTTTGAGGACTTCATTCACACATCTGGCGACTGGCAATGCTTCTTAGTTGGGGCTGTTAGCCAGAATAGCTACACAGCCTCTCCCTGTGCCCTGGGCCTCCTTATAGCATGACATCTGGGTTCCAATGGCAAGTGTCCCAAGAAAGAGAGCCAGGTGGAAATTATCTCACCTTAGGCCACCTAGTTCTGGAGGTCAATAGTGTCACCTCTGCTTTCTATTCACTGAGGTGAGTCACTAAAGCCTATTCAAGAGGAATTGTCATAGCCTCTACCTCCTAAGGGTAAGAATATCAAATAACAAATGCTGAGAAAGTGCCTAGTATATAATTAACGTTCAATGAATGTAGTTATCATCCATGATGATTGCTGGTGGTGCTGATGGTGTTATAGACAGTGTTATCAGATAAGGAAGAGAAACAGGAAGAAAATGAGTCAGCCTTGGAAGGATCTCGATAGATGAGATCAAGTCAGTCTCAGGGAAGGTATTTACACAGGCCTAGGGATTTGGTTCTGGGAACTTACAGCCATACAATAAGCCAGGAGCCCAGCATAGGAGAGGCAGTCAGATCATGGATGGCTTTGAACGGCAGGCAAAGGCACTTGGACCCGATGACAATGGGTATGAGAGTAGTAGCCGATTTATACAGGGAAGGAACATCAGATACTGGGACAAGAACCAAGAGGGGCGCCTCCCTGGTAGTGCAGGGATTAAAGTCTCAGCGCTATCAAGCTATTGACCCCCCGCCAGGGCCGGGGAGCTGCCCAGATGGCGCAGACCTCTCCCGTCTCACCCGATGCTCCCCTCAGCAGTGTATTTCAGTAGATCTGCCTTTTCTGCTCCCCACTCTGTCTCTGGTGAATCCTCACACCTACCAACCCTGCCCCACACCTCTGTCCCACACCCCAGTTCTTATATGCATAAATAAATAAATCTTTAAAAAAATAAAAATAAAACAGGAACCTTGGGCTCTTCAGTGGATCTAACTCACAGGTGAGCTCCTTAATGCTGATCTGGGGACACCACTTTGTAATATTTAGGGATCCAAAGGCTTTTGTTAGAAGTAATGTTGGCAAGTTACAGCTTAAGGATACCCATTAATTTCTGCATGCCACCTGCTGTAAAGAGAGGCAATCGATCTTTTTTTTTTTTTGCATTTAAGAACTAGGGTGTAGGCCAGAGGTTGGGGCAGGGGGATGAGAGGATTCACCAGAGAGAATGGGAAACAGAACAGGAGGATTTACTGAAATACACCACCACGGGGAGTAGCAGGTGAGACGAGAGGTCTGCCGTACCATATGTGGGTAGCTCCCTGGCCAGGGACAGGCCATAGTGGTGATAGTGCTGACACTTAACCCATAGGCCACCGGGGAGGCCTGCAACTTATCTTTTACTGACAACACAAATTCCATCAGTAGTCAGAGGGCCTATAATATCAAGATGAAGTGTAATTCTAATAATTCTGAAAGGAAAAAAGGCATGTCTGAGAAACTTCAAATTTACAGCATGGAAAAGGACAGAATTATAAATGGAATCAAGCTCTGTAATGTTTGTTGTTTTTTTTTTTTTTAAGAGGCATGTATTTTTATTTATTTATGATTTATTTATTTGTTTGTTTGTTTGTTTTGTTTATACATGCACTGGGTACAGTCAGAAGCGCGGGAGCGTGAGAGAATTCACCAGAGCCAGAGCGGGGAGCAGAGCAGGCAGAAGGACCGAAGTACACTGCTGAGGGGAGCAGCAGGCAGCAGGAGAGGTCTGCGCGCCATGTGGGACCCTCCTCTGGTGGCCGGGGAGCAGCCGGGGATCGAACAGGCGCCACAGTGGCCACGGGCAGCTTCGCAACCCAGCGCTCAACTGCTGCGCCACCGGGGAGGCCCAAGCTCTGTAATGTTTTACAATTACAACAACCATGTCTAAGATTTGAATAGAAGGTGCCGCAGGGAGTTTACAGCTTCTCCCCAAGGCTCACCCTTACTACCTCTGCGCTAGGGCCTTGAAACCAGGTCTTTTCATCTCACTGTGTCCACACTTGCTTTACTGCCAGACCCCCCTCTATCCTCCTGTAACTGTTCCACTCTCATCCTTTCAGATTTTGGCTAATCTGCTCATCAGACTCTGTGACCCCACATAGAAACAATCTCTCCGTCATGCATGTTATCCTTGTCCCCCTGCCCTGCTCATATATTTAGTCCTAACCCTCCACAACCTCATAATGTGACTGTTTGGAAATAGGGCCTTTAAAAACAAGGTCATTAGGGTGGGCCCTAATCCAATGTGACTGGTGTTCTCATAACAAGGGATTAGAGGACCTCCCCAGTGGCGCAGCGGTTGAGGACCACTCTGCGAAGTTGTCCACGGCCTTTGCAGTGCCAGTTTGATTCCCCACCATCCAGAGAGAAACCCACATGGTGGGACAGACCTCTCCTGCCTTGCTCACTGCTCCCATCAGCAGTGTCTTCGGTCTGTCTGCCTGTTCTGCTCCACACTCTGTCCCTGGTGAATTCTTTCACCCTCCTGTGCTTCTGACCTGTACCCCAGTTCTTGTATAAATGAATAAATCTTTTTTTTTTTTTTAAAAAAAAGGGGGATTAGAACCCTGATACCCAGGCCATGTGAGGACATAGGAATCCAGCTCTCTACATGCCAAGGTGAGAGATCTAAGAAAAAAAGCAACCCTGCTCTCACACTTGGTCTCAGACTTCTACACCCCAGAACTGGGAGAAAACTAATTTCTGTTGTTTAAGTCACCCAATCTATGGTACTTTATGGCACTGTCAACAGAACAGTACAAAGCCCTGGTTTCTGCCATCACAGCCTTTATGTAAAAGAATCATCTGCTTTCTTTCTTTCTATTATAATCCCACTGCTTAAGTCAATATGAGTTTAAGGGTAAAGGGGAGTGGAGATACTGAGTCTCTCTTCACAACATTAAAGATGAATTTTTTTTAGCTCATCTTCCATTTAGCCAACTTTAGTGCTTTTGCCTCTCATAGTCCCAAGATGACTGACATAGATCCAGACATCATATCTCAACCTCCATAATGCCCTCCGCACTCCCCGCCAGCAGCTTCAATGTTGAGCCACCTGACTTCCAAACTTCTCAAGGAGATATACCTGTCCTGAAGCTGGGTTAACAAGTTAAGGTTGTGGGCTCCCTGGTGGCACAAGGGGTTAAGACGCAGCCTATGACGCTATCTGCAGCCACTGCAGCACAAATTCAAACTCCAGCCAGGGAGCTACCCACATGATGCAGCAGACTGCTCCTGCCCTGCCCGCTGCTCCCCTCAGCAGTGTATTTCAGTTGATCTGCCTGTTCTGCTCCCCACTCTGTCTCTGGTGAATCCTCTTACACCCTGACACCTCTGGCCTGTACCCCAGTTTTTGTATGCATAAATAAATAAATATTTAAAAAAGCTAAGATTGGGCCTCCCCGGTGGCTCAGCAGTTGAGCGCTGGGTTGCGAAGCTGCCCGCGGCCACTGCGGCACCGGTTCGATCCCCGGCTGCTCCCCGGCCACCGGAGGAGGGTCCTACATGGCGCGCAGACCTCTCCTGTGGCCCGCTGCTCCCCTCAGCAGTGTACTTCAGTCCTTCTGCCTTCTCTGCTCCCCGCTCTGGCTCTGGTGAATTCTCTCACCCTGCCGTGCTTCTGACTGTACCCAGTGCATGTATAAACAAACAAACAAACAAACAAACAAATAAAGCATGCCTCTATTAAAAAAAAAAAAAAAAGCTAAGGTTGTGGGGTTAACAATTACTCATGATGTAGCTGGTGGGAGTGCCATCTGTTGAAGGTTTCTGGGAGGGGAATTTGGCAGTCTCTCCAAATCACAAACACATAGATTCTCCAATCCAGCAAACCCACCTCTGGGAATTTATCCTACAAAGCTGTGCACAAGAAATGAAAGGCCTCCCTGGTGGCACAAGGGGTTAAGCACCGCACTATGAAGCAATCCACAGCCTCTGCCACACAAGTTCAATCCCTGGCCGGCCAGGGAGAAACCACATGGTGAAGCAGACCTCTCCTTTCTCTACCGCTGCTCCCCTCAGCAGTGTATTTCACTCAGTCTACCTGTTCTGTTCCCCATTCTGTCTCTGATGGGTCCCCACTCTGTCTCTGGTGGGTCTCATATCCCCACTCTGTCTCTGGTGGGTATAAGTAAATAAATCTTACAAAAAAAAAATTGAAAGCATCCCCTGTCTTCTCTCTACTGTACATATTGAACAGCAAGCTGGGTGAAAACCCAGTGTCTATCAGGAGGCATTAAATAAATGACAGAACAATGATGCTAAGAACTCTGAGGCTATAAAGAGAATGGTCAAGGTCTTTAGAAATCCATTTGGAATTATCTCCAAGATACATTTAGTGAGAAAAGTAAAGTGCACTATTTGAGCACTTCCAATTCTGTAGGGGAAAAAAATGTCTATGCAAATGTCCCTGCCCCCTCTGGAAGCAACCTAGATGACACCAGCTACCATGTGAATGTTTGTCCTTGGCCCCTACCAGTCATGTTGAAATCCTAGCAGCCAAAGATGAAATTAGGAGGTGGGCCTTTGGGAGATAATTAAGTCCTAAGGGTGCAGTCCTTACCAATGGGATTAGTGCCCTTAAAAATGGGCACCCACAGAGACCTTTCATCCCCTTCTGTGCCATGAGGACACAGGCAGAAGTCAGCGGTATGCAATCTAGAAAAGGGTCCTCATCGGAATCCAACCATTCTGGCATCCTGGCCTCCCATCTCCAGAACTAAATGTCTGTTGTTTAGAAGTCACCCAACCTGCAATCTTCTATTACAGTAGACCAAACAGGCTGAGACCCACCAGTAAGCCCACCAGTAAGCTAGGGCCAGAGTGGGAGGCTTCACAACATGTTTAATTCTGTATCATACAAATATAGTATGCATTCTAAAATTAAAATAAAATATACCAGCTGATGCCCATCCTGTTTATTTTTTTTAAAATACATTTTTCAAAGATTATTTATGCATACAAGAACTGGGATACAGGCCAGAGGTGGGGGGGGGGTGTGTGTGTGACAGGATTCACCAGAGAGAGTGGGGAGCAGAACAGGCAGACTGACTGAAATACACTGCTGAGATAAACAACAGGTGAGACAGTAGAGGTCTGCTGTGCCATGTGGGTCACCTCCCTGGCCTGCTAGGTATCCAATTCATGCTGCAGAGGCTGTGGATAGCTTCATTGCTGTGCTTAACCCCTTGCACCACCAGGGAGGCCCTGTTTATTTTTTTAATATTTAAAATATAGGGCCTCCCCTGGTGGCGCAGCAGTTGAGAGCTGGGCTGCAAAGCTGCCCGCAGCCTCTGCAGCACCGGTTCGACCCCCAGTTCGATCTCCTGCCATGCCCACTGCTCCCCTCGGCAGTGCATTTCATCTGCCTGTCCTGTTCCCCGCTCAGGCTCTGGTGAATTCTCTCACCCTCCCGCGCTTCTGACTGTACCCAGTGCTTGTATAAATAAATAAATACATATATTTAAAATATATTTTAGGAGCCTCCCAGGTGGCTCAGGGGTTAAGTTTCAGTACTATGAAGCTATCAGCAGGCACTGCAGCATAAGTTCAATCCCAGCCAGGGAGCTAACCCACATGATGCAGCAGACCTCTCCTGTCTACTAAATGTTGTTCAGGCTGAACTTAAGCACCGAGGGGAAGGTGACCCACACATCCTATTTAAGTTCCAAAAGTCAGCCCCAAAGCATAACCCCCAAGATTGGCTTTCTTTAAACAATTTTAATCACAAATTGGGGTGGAGAAGCAGAGGTAGGTAAACGGGTACAAGGTGAAGCCTATAGAGTGGTGGCTGACTCTAGGCCACGCTCCTGGAAGAACCGGTGGGGGAGGCGGGGACGAATTCGGGGGCCTTCACTGAAGTAGGATGTGATCCTCCCAAGTCCCTCCTGATCCCCTGCTGGCATGTCCTCCCTGTGGGAGAGAGATGGTGATATTGGCCACCTGGGGACATGGGTGGCGGGAGGAGGACTCCCAGGCATCCACCTTCATCATAGCACCTCCAGGACACCTACCAGATAACATCCTCTGCCTCCTTCTCCAGGATGCTCTGGGCTGTACGCCAACTGAACCGGACAAATTGGGGGAAGCCAAACACAGGCTCCATGTGCTTCTTCAACCAGGCTTTTGTCTTGGGATCTGGGGGAGGGGATACGTGGATAATAGTGACAAACCAAGCTCCATAATGTTCAAGCTCCTCAGCCTAGCATCTAAGGTCCTGCCATGCTACCTCAGGCCTCCTCCAGAGTAGCTAAGGAATCACCTACTGGCTAAGACAGCTTCTTGCCTCAGGACCTTACGGGCCACTCGTACTTCTCTGACTGACTATCTTTGTCTGGACCTGTTTGCCTCATTTTGGCCTCACCTATTGCAATCAGAATTATGTCCTGGGGCTTCCCCAGTGGCGCAGTGGTTGAGCACTGGGTTGTGAAGCTGCCCGCAGCCTCTGCAGCACCAGTTCGATCCCTGGCCACCAGGTGAGGGTCCCACATGGTGCACAGACCTCTCCTGCCACCCGCTGCTCCCCTCAGCAATGTACTTCATAAGTCTGCCTGCTCTGCTCTCTGCTCTGGCTCTGGTGAATTCTCTCGCCCTCCCGTGCTTATGACTGTACCCAGTCAGAATAAATAAATCTTTAAAAAAAAAAAAAAAAAAAAAAAGAATTATGTCCTGCCCTAGGCCTTGAAAGGACTGGAGAAGGGTTTCTTGAACCCAGTCACAGAATTTTTCCTCCGGTCCTGTGGTGTGTGAGAACATGTGTGGGTAGGGCAAGGCAGGGGGGCCTATGATTATCTTTACCTCAGACAAGGAGACTGAGCCTCATAATGGGAAGAAAATGGATTTAAGAGGCAGCCACTAAACATAAGTCAGTACTCCTCACTCTTGACCCTCTCCCCTTAACTAATGGAAGAAGCCCACTATAGTCTCATTTCCTCACTGGGTTCCAGAGAAACAACACAGAGGGAGGCAGAAAGCATGGGAGAAGGAATTTCCCTCTGTCCCACATTGGCTGTGGCATGAGTAAGTGGCACTGTTTAGGCCTTAGTCTCTTCCACCAGAGTGGGGTGAATAAGAATAACTTAGAAAACCTAACATACAGGGCCTCTCTGGTGGCGCAGGGGTTAAAAGACCACACTATCAAGCTATCAGCAGCCACTGCAGCATGAGTTCGATCCCTGGCCAGCCAGGAAACAACCCACATGGTGCAGCAGACATCTTCTGTCTCACCTGGTACTCCCCTCAGCAGTGTATTTCAGTGGATCTACTTGTCAAGCTCCCCACTCTCTCTGGTGGATCCTTTCACCCCCAACACCTCTGGCCTGTACCCCAGTTCTTCTATGCATAAATAAATAAATCTTTATTTTTTTTTAAGATTTATTTATTTATTCATACAAGAGCTGGAGCACTGGACAGAGATGCGGGGGGTGAGAGGGGAACAGAACAGGCAGACTAACTGAAATACACTGCTGAGGGGAGCAGCGGGCGAGACAAGAGAGGTCTGCTTCGCCATGTGGGTTGCTCCCTGGCAGGCCGGGGATCGAACTCATGCTGCAGAGGCTTCGGATTGCTTCATACTGAGGTGTTTAACTCCTTGTGCCACCAGGGAGGCCCCCATAAATAAATGAATCTTTAAAAAACAAAAACCTAACACACAGACTAGGCCTGCCTCCTCAGGGTTATTACCATTGCTCTCAGAGAAGCTCCTAGGGCAGGTAGGACCATCACCATCTGCTTACCATTGGGGTAGCCTGAGCCATAATCTGTGTCCAAATCTTGCAATTTTTCCACAAACTGCCAGTTCTTCACAGCCTGGTCTCGGGCCACCTGGGGCAAGACAGGCACTTGGGTTATCCTTTCCAACAGCAGCCATGCCTCCCCCTACCCAAGGTAATGCTGAAGGCAGGTCATGATCAATGGGGGAATGACCTTGGCACAGATGCTGGCAGCGCTGACCACGGGGTAGAGGGCATCTGCCTTGGCCTTGACTGTCACCTCAATGCCGGGAAAGTGCTGCTGCAGTCGCTCTTGGTACTTTTCTGGCATTCCCACAGTGTCCACAAATACCTGCCAGGTGACAGAAATATTTTCATTCATCCAACACTCAGAAAGACAAACTACAAACAACCCAGCCAGTACAAAAACCCTGAAGTAGGCCCAATGGCCGGGACAAAACAATGACATCATAGAGCTAATGGGGAAAGTGGTCTCCATGCCAATTATTCCCAGAAATAACCTTTATTATTTGCTTAGCCCCTCACCACCTGTCTCCCTTGAAGAGGCCATGAACTTCTGAAGGCATTTACCCACCCCAATACTGCATCATCAGCTCCACATTCCAGCACTGGGCTTCAGCCACCTCCTCAAATAATTCAAGTGTGTTTTTTCCCTTGTTCTTCTCTTAAAAACAACCTGTTCTTTGCCTCAGAGCATGCAATGCAATGTCAGTTTATATTTCTTGCTGATAATTTAATCTTACCCTCCTTCACTTGCCTGTGAATGTTTCTGATTTAATTTCCACTGTGAACAGAAAATTAAATGTCAAGATTTACATTTCTAAATGATGACTGCTGTGTGATCAGCAGATTGGTAGTGGGGGAGGTGAAAGTAGTGTGGAGGGTGACAATGGGGAAAAAGGAAGAGTATGGATAGTTGCTTGGAAAGGGAGAGTGCCCTGGGCTAGTATAGAGACTGTAGAATTTGTTCTGGACACTGAGCTCTTAGGATACAAAGACATATTACATGGGAGTGGGGTAGGATTGGTCCTCCACATTTATGGCAGGAAAAGACACAGGAAATCAATAGTAACAAATATTCCTCAGGTAGTCCAGATATGCCTGATGCTGTATTGCCCACTGCACTTTTAAACTCCCATTTTATGTGGAGGTAAGCAAAAGAGAGCAACCTAACAGCTCACCTGGGTGACTTTCACACCCCGGTCCAAGGCATACTGCACCAGCCCAGCAGCTGTATCATGCGACAGGGAGTTCAGATTGTATTTGACCCTGCAGTGGGGAACAGAGACCATTCAACTTCATTCTAGTCAACCATCCCTTCCAGCCCATTAGCTTTCCCTCCACGGGACTCCTCACCGCCCAAGCATGCTGGTAGAGATGAGGTTCGGAGAGAGCACATCCAGTGCCCAGCCCACAAAGTCTCGGTCCTCCTCCATTTTCGCAAAAAGCCTGTCCCGCTCGTTCTCTGACAGGGTCTTTGAATCTGGGAGAAAGGTTGGAAGAAAAGGGGACCAGTTGGCTCTTCCAGCTTCTGCTTTCCCCTCCAGTTCGCACCAATCCCTGCACATGCCCAGGAACTTCCTCCCCAGAAGTATACCTCAGGCTCACCTGCCACTTTCAGGGCCTCCAAATCTGCCAGATGCGATAGGGGGCAGTAACAGATTGCATATACCATGGGGCCTAGGGAAGGTCCAATATGTGAGTCCACGAAAGGCGCCACCCCCCTTCCACCATAACCCCTTTTTTGCTGACACCGTCACCACCATCAACGCCCGCCCAGTGTGGTGCAACTTCCGTCCCTATTACTATGGGGGCGCACCCAGCACCGGGCCCCGGCCAGCTTCATCAACGCCCAGGACGCAGGGCTCCTTGCGGCACACCGCAGGCACAGGCGAGTTCAGACGATAGCGGCCTGTGTTGTCTCTCTCCAGCACGTTGAGATTCATGCCTCCTTGGTCGACACAGTCGCTCACAGAAATAAGGTGTGCGGTGTCGGTCTTCGCGCGCGCTTCTTCCGCGGAACCTGTGGCGGCCCTCGCTTCTGACCAATCGGCGCACAGGACACACCTCCGACGCACACGCAGCCCACGCCTTTCCGCTAGCGCGAGTCTCCCTGGGAACTGTAGTTTCCAAGGCCGGCCACTGAGCTCCTCGTTCAGGGAACAAGATGGGCGGGGTTGTTTGACAAGCACCGCCCAGGGGTCCTTGGAGCCCCGCCCACAGGGGGGCTGGTAGAAGAGCAAAATAATGCGAAACTGAGGTGGGTCTTGGAGGACCAGGCCCTGTCAGGTCATAGAAGGTCAAGCACTACAGCACACGTATTTACGGTGTCCACAAGACTGTGGGCATCCCCTACCTGGATTCAGGCCATTTGTACTCCCGGTCCCTGCCACTCGAGAGTCTAAAGCCCCTGAAGCAGATGTTCCAGTTCTCACTGAATTCCTGTTTGAACTTGGGGGCACCCCAACTTCTCTTTCACACACACACACACACACACACACACACACACACACACACACACACACAGCTTCCAACCTTCTGTCATTGGGTTACCCATTCCTTAGCCACAAACCTAGACCCCAGATGCAATAGATTCCTGCTAAGTCTCCACCCAGCAGTTTGCCTCATTCCATTCAATTATTATTTAAGAGTCCTGCGTCCAGTTCCACCATTCTTCCCTTTTTCCCTATCTTTTTTTTTTTTAAGATTTATTTATTTATGCATACAAGAGCTGGGGTACAGGCCAGAGTTGTGGGGAATGAGAGGATTCACCAGACACAGGTGGGGAACAGAACAGGAAGATTGACCAAAGTACACTGCTGAGCCATGTGGGTTGCTCGTTGGCCGCCCAGGGGATAGAACTTGTGCTGCAGAGGCTGCGGAAGCTTCACAGGTTGCGTCTTAACCCTTTGCGCCACCAGGGAGGCCGCTTTTCCCCTATAATAGTGAGGCTCACACCTCCCAGATTTTTCTGCCACTTAGGCCGCACATCTCCTAGTCCTGATCTCAGCAGGGCTCACATCTTCTGTCTGTGGTTCTCTGCCTCTCATCAGTTTCTTTTTTTTTTTTTTTAAGATTTATTTATTTATTTATTTTTACAAGCACGGGGTACAGTAAGAAGCGCGGGAGGGTGAGAGAATTTGCCAGAGCCAGAGCGGGGAGCAGAGCAGGCAGAAGGACCGAAGCACACTGCTGAGGGGAGCAGCAGGCTTCAGAAGAGGTCTGCGCGCCATGTGGGACCCTCCTCTGGTGACCTGGGAGCAGCCAGGGATAGAACTGGCGCTGCAGAGACTGCGGGCAGCTTCACAGCCCAGCGTTCAACCGCTGTGCCACCAGGGGAGGCCCCTCATCAGTTTCTTGTCCCTAATTCAGTCACATTTCCTGCAGTCCCCTCGCCCCTTCTCTGGTTCCCTCACCCCCACAAACACACACACAACTTTCTTCCTTTCTCCAGGGTTATCAATGGGGCACAAATCTCCACCCTCCCCCCACCCTCGGGCTCCAGACCCAGGGCCCTCAGCTCTCCTTTTCTGGAGCTCTCCAGGTACCCCTTCTCCTATTGCCCTTCCCTTTTCCCATCCACCCTGGGGACTCCCGCTCTGGACTTGCCAGCTCACCCAGGCCCTGCCTCTTCAGCGCTTCTCACCTGGGTTCAGGGTCTCCAGTGACAGTTGATTGGTTTGCAGGATGAACAATCCTGTTGCCGACAGGGCAGCACTTGCACCAGGTTCTTGTGGTCCATGAACACTGGGCCTGGAGCAGTGCCCAGGATCTCTCGGCTGCGCTCCTGCTTGCCCAGGTCACAGTGACATTGCCACTCTCCCCACGGGCCAAGGATGGAGTCCTCCACGTCTAGGGATGGAGGGCCAGGTAGGGGGGAACACCCACCCCCATGCCACCCTCCTCTAGGAAAGGAGAATAAAGACTAACAAGTAACAGCTTTGTGCCAGGAACCCCACCATTGACCCTCTCGTTGGAACAGGGAAAGCAAGCCACTCTTCAGAGGTGAACCTGGTGAACAGCCCAGAGGGACTGCAAATTTATACTTCCCACCTGTGCCAGCCTGCCTATTTGCAAGTGTGGTGCAACTTCCCTTGGTGCCCACCATTTGAAGTTGACTCCTGGGTTCAGGGGTGTGATTATAAGCCTGTCCAGCTGGCAAAGGGCCACCTGACCAGGAGCGTTGTCAGGTGGTAAATTTAATAACATAATTGGCATAATGAATATACTTAAAGCCCCTGGTGCTATGCAACCAGGTAGAACAAAAACAATTATTATGACCACTTTTAAAGCAGCTACAACTCAGTAAGAGCTTATCAGATACCCTTCACAATGTTCTTGTACTGACTTCTCCCTATGTCCCTATGAAACAGATCTGATCCCAATCTACAGCTCACAAAGCTGACACCTCATGTTCTCACTATGCCTCCACTACAAATTACTGGCCTGTTTTTATTCCTGTCAGGCCTTTTGGCCTTGGCACTTCCCATTCCTTCTTCCTCCCACACGTCCCCCTAAAGTTTTTGACTTGTTTGTCATTCTGACTACTTTTTTCAGCCAGGTCGTCTCTGATTTTAGAAGTTTATTTGTCCCCTTCTATCTCAGTCTCCACCCTTCCTAGCACCTACCCATGAGCTTATGGAGGGGTCTACTTCAGTACTTACTGCCTGCTCACACTTACTTCCCCCCTTAAGCTGCTTACAGGCAGTCTCAATTATAACTTACTGGTGTGAAAACTGAGCCTCAGGGGGAAACACAGTTCAAGGGGATGCTACCCGTGGGAAGCTGGGCAGAGATTTGACGTCCATGGAGAAGGGTCTCTCTGCAGTCAGCTGTCAGAGTGGGGCAATGAGGCACCTTCACACCCACGACCTGTGGTTACCTTTCTCCTGATGCTGCAGTCGCAGCTGCTCCCAGGTGTCACCTTCACCTTGCTCCCCGAAGTAATGATAGTCGGGGGAGACGTGAGCAGGGGTCGCCAGCAGCAGCAGAAGCATCAGAGGCGGCAGTGGCAGCACCGCCGGGCTCCGGAACATGCCGGACTCAACCGCCCTCTGCGCGCACCCGGGTCAAGTTCCTCGCGGGGCCCCGGGGCCTGCAGTTCCCCACTACTGGCAGGCGCGGTGGTCTGGCGTGCGTCTCCCCCTACTGCTGCAGGCTCGTTGACCCGGCCAGCAGCGCTCCCCTACTCCGCGGAGCCAGTGGACCCGACCGCTCCGCTAGTCCGCCGCCCCCTCCTCCCCGCCCTGTGCGTCATGGGTCTACCGCATATAAAAGGCTCCACGACCCAAGAGAACTCGGTGCCGAGAACGCGAGTCCGCGCTCCCGCTGGTCTCTGCAACCTGCCGCTCCTTGCATCCCGCCCTTGCCCACCCAGGTAGGGACACCTAGAGTGCACCCGGCTGGGGGGAAGTTCCCTAGGAGCAGCTCCTATTTAGACATTAGCACCAGCCGCTTTTGTTCCCCGACCGCTATTGTGGCCGCCTTTGTCCTGACGGTGGAAACCGAGGCCAGAGCCTTGGAATACAGGCCTCGTCTCCGGGCCCCCAGTCTGCAACTGAGGCCTCGCCGTCTCCTCCTAGGGTGGGCCTGCGACATTCCGCGGGAGCCAACGCGCTAATGGCGGGGGGCGGGCGGGTTGCCTCTGCTGGTCAGGGGGCGGGTCTCCCGCAACCTCCAGACTGCGCAGACCGGGGTACCGGGGAGGAGGAGGGGCAGTGCTGCGGCCTCCGCCTCTCGGACTCGATAACGCGGCCCAGCACGTAGCTTGACCTTGGGAAGCGAGGACAACGGGCCTGACCGGGCGGGGGTCTCAGCTTTCAGTCATGGCCTCCGGCAACGCGCACATCGGAAAGCCCGCCCCGGACTTCCAGGTCACAGCTGTGGTGGATGGCGCCTTCAAAGAGGTGAAGCTTTCCGACTACCGAGGTGAGGGCGACCTGGAGGGACCCAGGTGGGGACGGGACCCAGGCACCGGAGGCGCTGGGTCCTAACTCCTAGTCTGTTTCCAACTCTCCCCCAGGAAAATATGTGGTTCTCTTTTTCTACCCACTGGACTTCACCTTTGTGTGCCCCACGGAGATCATCGCTTTCAGCGAACACGCAGAGGACTTCCGCAAACTTGGCTGCGAAGTTCTGGGGGTCTCTGTGGACTCTCAATTCACTCACCTGGCTTGGTATGAGCGGTGACCAGCAGGGAGGGGGAAGGGGCAGTTAAGCCTAGCGTGACCCAGCTTAGTGGCCCGCCTCCTGGCCATTGCTCAACCCCTGAGCCTCCCTTTTCCATCTTGAAAATAATGGAAATGTGACGCCCTAGTCCTTAAGAAAGAAGACGGTAATTAGCATTTGGAAACTTAGTTGCTTGGCGCTGAGACTTGCAGCTGCTTTATCTCGCTGAGTTCTGGCAAGGGAGACTGTGTTGCCCTATTTAAACTATTTCATGAACGTGGAAACTCCAGTTTAAAGAAGTGAAGGGCTGGGCCCCAGAACACGGAGAAGAGAAAATGGGGATTCTAACGCATGCTCTTTGCCCTAACATGCTGAAGGCTACCAGCACATGTGAAGTCACTTGACTGGATGGTTAGTCTTCCCAGCTGTGGGAAACAGTCCCTACACCCACTTCAGGGTGCGGTAGGTGGAGCTCCCAAGGCCTTGCTCTAAAGCCCCTTATCTCTCACCACCAGCAACCCCTCTTGAGCCCTTATCACACCCACGGGCATAGGGTGAGGACCCTGCTGTGCTAGACATCTCTCCCCCACCTCCAGGATCAACACCCCCAGGAAGGAGGGAGGCCTAGGCCCCCTGAACATCCCTCTGCTAGCTGACCTAACCAGAAGCCTGTCCCACGATTATGGTGTACTGAAAGAAGATGAGGGCATTGCCTACAGGTACTCGGGGGCCCACTGCACCCCTCAATGGCCTCCTCCCCAGGGTGAGGGGACTGCTTTTGGGCTATACGCTTCCTGCCCCCAATCCTGTGGCTGGCAGGAGTTAGCACTCTCTTCCCTGGTCCTAGCAACAGGAGATCTCGCTTCCTCACTATAGACCCTGATGTTTCTAGGGGCCTCTTTATCATCGATGGCAAAGGTGTCCTTCGACAGATCACTGTCAATGATTTGCCTGTGGGGCGTTCTGTGGATGAGGCTCTGCGTCTGGTCCAGGCCTTCCAGTACACTGATGAGCACGGGGAAGGTGAGCAGACACATGCATTAAGGGGTTCACACATGTATATTTATGAAGCTCCTTTATCACTCAGAACATTCGCTGCCTGCTCTGCCACCTGCATGGGGTAGACATGAGGGTCCCTGAAGAATTCAGTCAAGCACCTCTGGGCTGGTGGAAGGAAATACCCCAATATGATGCTGGGGACCAGGGAGGTTGTAGAAATCCATGGGGAAAAGTACGTAAGAGGCATGGCAGGCTTGAATAATATTGGTTGGATCAGAGTACCTTTTCATGTGGAGGATATAGCCTGACCACAAACATTCAGAATCCAGTGAGGCTGGGCTGGGGAAGAGATGGATTACAGGGTCCAAAAAGTAGTAAAAATGAGTCAGAAAATTCTGCAGCTGGCCTGGGAGGGCTTTTCTCCACATGAGGTATGGTCTTGGACCTGGACCGCTTGGCTCTGTTTTGTTTTGGTTTTTGAATTCAGGATTTTACTTTACACCTTCCTCTTCATTTTACTTTGTATATGGAGTTGTAGCTTCATACCTGAATCTCTGTCTTCCCACAGTCTGTCCCGCAGGCTGGAAGCCAGGCAGTGACACAATCAAGCCCAATGTGGAGGACAGCAAGGAATACTTCTCCAAACACAACTAAGCTAGTAGATGGATGGAAAGCTTTGGCTCTTGGCCCTTACCTGTGCCCCGTCTGGGTACCCTGTGATGATGCAGGAAAGGCCAGACCTGCACCTTGAATCCCCACAGACCTTACCCTAGAGGGTAGGCCAAGGTCTTATGCTCCTGCCTGGGAGCTGAATGTTGATCGATTCTCTGGAACCCATCTAAGCAGGGAACAGGCCTAGAGATAACTAATAAAGTATTAGGGATGAACTTGAGCCTGTGTTGGTGTGGTCTGTCCTGGTACCTCCCCTCTGCCTCTCTTTAAATTCCCCTAAAAAACTGAGTCGGTAGTTACTTACTTATACCAGGAGGTGGCAGCCTTACCTCACACTGCTACCACACTGCCACTTTCTACCTGAGGGAAATTGGTCTGCAAGGTGGAGCTTGCTGGCCTCTTGAATGGTACAAATCCCAGAATGTCCTATATCCTGAAATCTGGCCTTGTAGGGCAATGCCCACAGTTTGCCATCAGCCAGCCTGCATTCAAATACAGTTTAAGAGCTGTGTCAACTTCTGGTCAGGAAAATGGGAATATAGAACCCAGATCTGGGCCTCCCTGGTGGCTCAGCGGTTGAGCGCTGGGTTGCGAAGCTGCCCGCAGCCTATGCGGCGCTGGTTTGATCCCTGGCTGCTCCCTGGCCACTGGAGGAGGGTCCTGCATGGCGCGCAGACCTCTCCTGCCGCCCCCTGCTCCCCTCAGCAGTGTACTTGGGTCCTTCTGCCTGCTCTGCTCCCCGCTCTGGCTCTGGTGAATTCTCTCACCCTCCCGCGCTTCTGACTACCCAGTGCTTGTATGTATAAACACACAAACAAATAAATCTTTAAAAAAAAAAAAAAGAACCCCGATCACCGTGCATGTTAAGAAAGAACATGAAGTTCAGGACCCAGTTTAATGGTTACTGGGATGAGTTCCTGGAGCTTGAAGGTTCCATGTTATGGAAAAGAAGGTGGGACTGAGTCCTGAGAACATTACCATGAGTGGCAATTTGAGTTGCATGTATTCTCCCCATGGCAAGCTCTTCCCCAGTCCATGTTGAAAAGTCTGCCTGTCCCCTCTGTGATGGAATGTTGAAGGTTAGGCTGGGAAGCTGCAGTTAGGAGAAAGGCACAAATCCTAGGGTACAGTTTGAAGGACAAGTTCAGACAAGTGACTGCTACTCTGAGCCCCCACTTCCACAGGACAGGACTTAACACCTCATTTAATTCATACACCACATTACATACATATTAACATTATATACATATTGACACATATCCAACCTAAAATCCTCCAAAGGCCACTGACATTGGACTTGAATTTTACCTACATTCCTCCCCAAGTCTCTGCATGGTACTCCTTGACTTTTATCTCCCTCTCCAGGTTCAATCCATTCCAGAAAGACTGGCTTCCTATTCTTTAACAGATTGATCTTGTTCTGGCCACAGGAACTTGTGTTTTCCCTGCCCAGGATGCTGTTACCCAGAATTTCCTTAGAGCCCCGATTCTTCAGATCTGATTTAAAGTCAGTTAAAGGTCCAATCATTCTTTAAAACATCTCACCCCCTGGTCCTTCACTACCACTTGTATAATTTTTTCCTCTTCCAAGCACTTACCACCATCTTTGAATCATGTTTGTTTATAGTTTGACAGGGTGGAAGTTGTGCCTCCAGGATCGGGTCGCTCAGTATTTTATAAATACATTGTCTGTTCTGCCCACACCACCACTGGCTGACCTGATTTCTCGGTCTTTGTTTTTCTCTGCTGGGGGCTTCCAGCTCCGAAGCCAACCAGACCCCCTAGGGGAGCACCAGCCACATTCCGACCCGTCCCAGCCTCAGAAAAGGGAGTCTCGTGCCAGGGCGACTGTAGCCGCGCCCGGCGGCCCCAGCAACCACCCCGGCAGGACCAGACCTGGCACTCGCCCTGCTCAGGGCCTGGCTCTGGGAGGGGAAACTGGCAGGCGGTGCCGCCCTTCCTGGGGGGCGGGGGAGGGGGGTACCCCTCGGAGGCAACGACGCGCGGGTAACAGCAACTACCCGCCCCTGTCTGGCCCAAAGGACGTAGCGTGGGTTCGGCAGGGCCCCCGCGTCAGTTCTTCAGGGGAGGCTCTGGGGTGGCTCCCGAAGCGCGGCCCGCCCACTGCGGACGCTCTGGAACCAGGCCTGGGGTTTTCCGGGCCCCGGCAGCCACCCGCTTGGGAAAATCCCGGCCCCCTTCCCGGCGCCGCAGCACTGCCCGGCAGAGCGGGGGAGGGGATTCCCGGAATCTGCCCGGAGACCGCCGTCGCGTCACAGGGCAGAATCCACCCATATATGGGTATCCCTTCCGCTGCGTCAGCGGGGAAAGCCCCTGCGCGCGCGGCTGGGAAGGGCCGCGCCTGCGCATTGAGCGCCGCGCCCCAAATACCCCGTTCCCTTGTGTTGGGCGGCTGGACTTAGTCCCAGCCCTGAACCGCCAACCCTCGATATAAGGGGACGCGAGAAGGGTTGGAAACCCAGGCTGGATAGCTGGCGAGTGGACAACCGGGATAGAGCTGGCGAGGGGACAGAGATATAGGAGCAAGCCACAAACAGCATTGGGGTGGGGGTAACCCAGTACTCTCCTCCCTCTGCTCTCCCGGCTTGGAAAAAAAGACAACAGAAATTAATAAAGAACCATTTTTTTTTTTTACTTAAATAGATTCAATAAAAAGTCAGAACGACAAACGCACAGACACACACAAACACATCTTAAAATAAACTCTTTAGAGACCAAGTGCGTGTTTCTTCTCCACAGTACGGTGCAGAGGTGGGGAAGGTAGGGTGCGGGGGGGTTCCCTCCCCAGTGTCTCCCCGGGCTTGAGTACCGGGCGGCGGGGCCAGCTCCGCCGCGATCGCCCCCTCCTCCCCTCCCTGTTAAATACACAAATATATTATATTCAATATGAATCGAGTCTGTTTCCAGCAGAAAAAAAAATACAAAAAACGTGAAAGGGGGGCTTGTAAACGTCGAGGTGGAAGCACTGGGCACAGAGCAGGCGCGCTGGAGTCACTGTGGTTTTCGGCATCCCAAGGCCCCGGGGTCGGTGCCTACCGCATGTCCCCTCGCCCCGCTGCAGGCGTGCGCCCAGCCGTCCAAGATGGAGAAAGGTCCGTAGATGGTTAGCGGCACTCAGAAGGCGTGTCCCTTGACCCCGAGCAGCAGCTGGCAGCCGTTGCTGACATGGGTCATGACCTTCTGTTTGAGCTGGGCCACCTGCTCCCGGAGGAGGCCAGCGGTGCTTGAGAGCCCAGCGTTCTCGGCCTTGAGAGTCTTCACCTTGTCCTCCAGGCGCGCGATGCGCTCCAGCTTCCGCTTCCGGCACTTAGTAGCCGCCAGCCGGTTCCGCAGCCGCTTGCGCTCCACTTTGATGCGTTCCTGGTCTTCCATGTTGATGGGGGACACCGGCGGCGTGGCGTCTCGGCTGCGCGCCTCAGGCACGGTCTGCGGCTCCTCCTTAAAGGTGGAGGCGCCTCGGCCCAGGCCCAGCTGTGCTGGGTGGCCGCCAGCAAAGGGCGGCGCGTGTGGGAGGTAGCTGATGGTCGCCGTCGGGTACGAGCTCCCAGTCCCGACGGCTGCCCCGGCGCCTCCGGAGGGCGCAGAGGCTGGGGAATAGCTGCTGAGGTTGGTGTAGACTGGAGGTGGCTCCGGGCCGGCATAGACGCCCCCGGGCCCGGCCGGGGGGCCCCCGCTGGCGCCCAGGGACACATTGGGGGGTGTCACGTGGTTCATCTTGTGCAGGTCGTCCAGGGCTTTGACAAAGCCGTCGGCGAAGCCCTCCTGCTCCTCGGTGACGCCGCCCCCTGAGCCCCCGGCGCCTCCACCGCTACCACCCCCGCGGGGGTAAAAGTACTGTCCTGGGGGCGTAGGCGTCGTAGTGATCACGCCGTTGCTGTTGGGGACGATCAGGCGCTCCAGCTCCGATGAGGCAAGCTTGAGCGACGCGCTCGTGTCCGAGCTCTGGCCAGAGAAGTAGCTACCGCCACTGGTGCCCTCCGGGCCGGGACCCCGCGCCGCGGGAGCTTTGAGACTTCGGTAGGGGTCAGCCAGGTTGAGCGCCAGACTGGGTTTCAGGAGTTTGTAGTCGTGTAGAGAGAGGCTGCCTGGGGCACGGCCGTATCCCGCTGCTGCGTAAGAGTCGTCGTGGTAGAAGGGCTGTTCCATTTTAGTGCACATCCGGGCGGCCCGGGCGGTCGTGGGGGGCGGGGGTGTTGTCCCTGCGGGGCCGCCCCGGGCCTCGCGGCTGCTAGCGACGCGCTGTTCCCGGTGGTAGCTCGCCTGGGTGTCTGGACGCGCGTTCCTGGAGGCTGGCACCGGCCGGGAGAAGCCCGCCGGCTGCTGTGCGCGGAAGCTCTGAGCTGCTTCTCGATTCCCTCCGGCCTTCCCTGGCGCGCTCGCTTCCTTGGTGCCGCTTCCCCCAGCTCCCCGCTCCCTGCTGGCTCCGACAACTGCCTGGCCGCGATCAAGATCCCTGCTGCTCCCCGCGAGCCACACGCCTTTATACGGCGAGTGTTAGCTGCGGAAGTGCGCTCGGATTGGCTGGTGCTGGTGCCGGGCCCCCGCGCCCCCCTCCTAGAGCGTGGGGAAGGGGAGGAGGCGGCTCGCGTCACTGTCAGGAAGCGCGTGTCCTTGTAAACAGCGGCCACGGGCTGGGTGGCTCGGCGCGGCTGCAGGGGAGGGGCTCAGGGGACACAGAGTCACTCGAGAAAAGGGGTGCAGGGGTGGTTCGAGGCACACTGGGATAGTCTTCGGGGAGAGCAAAGATTCCCCTGGAGTACGCCAGGAGAGAGACGTAGAACCGGTACAGGGCAAGTGTGTGTCGGGGGGAGGGGGTCCTACGATATACATAGAAAGGCCTGGGGGATTCGCGGTAACTGAGGAGGCTTGGAAGACTGAAAGTACACTGGGAGACCCCACGAAGGAGAGAACGGGGAGGGGGTGGGGCTAAGCAGGGTAAATGGAGGGGAGAGGTAAGGAGACACACGACTTAGGAATTGAGTGAGGGTCCCGAGTTCAAAGAGATATGGTTCTGGACTTTTCACAACAGAGACTAAGCCCAGGAAAAGTGAGGAGGGAGATCAAAAGGATACATGGGAGAGACTGGAGGATCCATTATGTAAGAAAAGAGTAGGGGTCCTGGAGCCCTGGGAAAGTCTTGAGGGTCCCCCATAAAAGTGAAGAGGGAATTGGAGGGATATAGATATGCAGCAAGTGAGAGTTCTGGAGTACAGTGAATC